GTAACCGTCCCCTAGGAGTAGAGAATGATGATGAGATGAGAGGACTCTCATTTCATCATCATTATTCCATAACGCCTCATCCAATTTTTCAGTAATGAAAGATTGCACCAAGGAAAATGGAAATTCTGAAATTAATATTGAAAGGAACGTGTGTGTGGATTACTGTCACGACTGGATTTGAGGGAATTGTGTTAGACATTGCACTTTTGACCATTTTCAAATTTTCAGTCAGGTTTGGTATGCAAGTGGGATTCTCAATTTCAAAATGAATGAGCACGGTATTGAGAGACCCAATGTGCTTTACAAAAATTAATAAACACTTAAATTGTAATGGAAGATGGCGAGTTTTGTAATAATTGAAGTGTAAAACATATCCCAATAATTCTCGCCTGGTGTACTCGTGCATAATGTTCATAAATATTAAGCATGCATGAAATGAAACTTCTCATTCTCTCGATCGGCAAGGTAAAAAGGTCAACAATTACACCAGATTGGTCTGATTGATCGTTGGATCACTTTGGTGCACGAGCTCAATAAATTAATCAGGAATTAGAATTTTTTTAGTAGAAATTCTTTGATTAATTTGCATTTATTTCGCATAAATTGGTCGTACTATTTTATATGTACAGGGTGGTTTAAATGTCAGGTTACAATGGAAAATTTTGCAATGGGAAAAATTCGCAAATATCCATTAGTTACCTCAATTTTGCCTCTGACATTCAATATTTTAAGAATTTTGGGTGGAATTCAATATACGTTAGGCAATGCTTAGGCAAGAGAAATTTGCCTAAGCAAATTTTATTTGTATTCAATATTTGTTGCTTAGGAAAAATTCTAAGCAAGTGCTGAGCAAAATATGTAGGATTTTCTGTATTCAATATGCACAAATTCCTAAATTTTTTGCCTAAAGTTATTCCAGCTCGGAGGTGGAATAACGACTTGCGTAACTATAATTTAGCTTAGAAAAATATTTATTTCGACCATTTTAGACGTAGTTTGGGGCGAGGATGTCAAAAATCGACATAGTTTTGACGTGCCATGACCTTGTGACCGTGTAGACGACACCAAAGTCAAAAATGTCAAATTTTGTGTCTTCATCGTTTTAGACGTAGTTTGGGGCGAGGATTACAGAAATCGACATGGTTTTGACATGCTATGACCGTGTGACCGTTTCGCTTCACCCCTTTGTTACATTTCGCTTGCAACGGTTTATTAAATATTCTAATTATTTGCAATTACATACAAAGTAAAACTTCAAAAACAGTTTCACATATACTGGATCTACTAAATAGTGCATCACTTTGTAAGTTTAGTAGCCAAGTGGTCAAAAATAGGTTTAGAAATTTGAAATTTTTGTAGAATATTCCAAACATATCGAACTGGATATATCTACGGACAAAGAAGACTTTAATCCATTATCCATCTCGTATTTAACTTTTTTCTTCACCTCCGTCATTAGTACTTTTCCGGCAGACTGCAAGTTCATTACTAATTTTCTTCCACCGGAACAGAAATTTTCTTAAAGTATCGTCCGTTTCTCAAAGCTGGAAGTACCTCTTCCTACACAAAGCCTAAAATCTTGTTTTGAGTCGGATAGGGGAAGTTTAGAGGGCTTTTGACAAAAATTCGTCAAAAAATGCCCAAGAAATTATGAAAATGCCCATCCGAAGTCGACCATCGCATAAAACATTTTTCGGAAGGAAAATTGTCACAAACGAAAATTTTGGAGAAGCTGAAATTATCCGGATAGTGTTGCTCATTCTACAGAGTCTAGTATACTTACTTCCTTTGGAATTGGATGAAAATCTAAATTAGCGGGACTGCTATCCTCTGTAAGGTACCAGACCCCAAAAACGTAACGCGTACCGTTTTTCGAAAAATCGACGCTCTGACAAGCCAGGAAAACACCCAGGCCCAAACTCAGTGGAAAAGTTGTTAAAATAATACTGGGGAAGTATAACCTCCATCATCCCGCGCTCGTATCCTTCCCATACTATTAGCATGGTACGGATACGCACGCGGGAGCCAAATTTTGATGGAGGTTATGCTTCCCCAGGTATATGTCAGCTGCATGTGAGTTGCACCATCAACAACAAACTTCAAAAACGTCAAAAAAGGTACACTTAAAGTTTAATTAGGTTGTAAAAAATTAAGTTTGTTAAAAAGTGGTAAATGTCGGGTTGATATTTTAGCCGAAATGAAATAAGATGCAAAGAGCGGAGCATCAAAATTTTGCAAAAATTTTGTCAGTTCACACGAGGTCACAGATTTTCGTTGCCTTAGGCAACGAAAATGGCTAGGCAAAATGCCTAGCCATTGCTCAGAATTTGCGTAAGTTTAAGCATTCTTAAACTTACGCATGCCTAAGTCGACTTTATATTGAATACGAAATTTTGCTCAGCAAAAACCTTGCTGAGCATGTGCTTATCTACGCAAATGCTTATGATCGCGTATATTGAATTCCACCCTTTGTCATAAGTTTTAATAAAAATTAATAAAAATCTCAATCCCAAATCCGTAAATAATTTTTAGAAAATTTTTAGAAAATTTTTAGAAAATTTTTTTAATTTCCATTAGTTACGGATTTGGGATTGAGATTTTTATTAATTTTTATTAAAACTTATGACAAAATTCTTAAAATATTGAATGTCAGAGGCAAAATTGAGGTAACTAATGGATATTTGCGAATTTTTCCCATTGCAAAATTTTCCATTGTAAACTGACAATTAAACCACCCTGTATATTACAAATTAGTTTTAAGTTAAAACAATGTGCAATGTGTTTGTAACTGTGGCCACAGGAAATTGAACAGACAAAGAGGCTACCGGTGCGGTTCCAACTCTCATATTAATTAGTCACAAACGAACAATACTATAGATATGTTTATTAAAATCCTGTCATGCAATTATTTTTCTTGATATACTTCAGCCCTGTTTCCGTTCACATTGCATCCACAGGTGGGTATAAGATTCCAACGATTTTGACGTATGATAGTTAGAATTTGCGTAATTTTATGTGCATGAAGAGGTAAATAAGAGCCGATTCATGACAACTTTTTATAAAATTGGAGGGGGTCCAAAATGTCCCAAAACCGTTATTGTTTTTGCCAATTTTGAGAAATTGGATTAATGACTCACATTTAGACACATTTCAAATTTGGTTCAATATGGTATATCGCAAGGTCCTGAATTTTACTTAATTTTATTTTTGTCTACATAAGGTTAGCTCACTTGATGGTAAATTTTGTGACCGAGAGCTTGGGACGAGTTTGGGAGTATTTTTTGGAAAAAAATTCGTTTCCACGCGGAGTTAAGGCCATTTTAATGTAAATTTATAAAATAATGATGATAATTGTCATCACCGGCAGTGACCACGATTAATTTACACCGTTTTCATGGCGCGGTGCCATAGAAAAGGCTTCAATTATAATTATTTTATAAATTTACATTAAAATGGCCTTAACTCCGCGTGGAAACGAATTTTTTTCCAAAAATACTCCCAAACTCGTCCCAAGCTCTCGGTCACAAAATTTACCATCAAGTGAGCTAACCTTATGTAGACACGTAACTAAGTAAGATTCAGAACCTTGGTATATCGGAATGAGAAATGGGGAAGTTATGACATGGCGACAGAATTTGGCGAAAACAAGGGGGTGGCGGTGCGTGGGACATTGCGACATGTCGACAGAACCAAAAAGAAGTGTTGTGCCAAATTTCATGCAAATCGAACGAGAAATGGCGAAGTTATGGCGACGAAATTTGGCGAAAACAAGGTGGTGGCGACGGGTGGGACCTTGCGACATGTCGATAACACCGAAAAGAAGTCTCTGTCGAAGTTTGGTGGAAATCGGACGATAAATGGCGAAGTTATGGCATGGCGACGAAATGGCAACAAAGGTTGTCGCCATGCAGTGCATTTATAAGGGGGGGAGCTGTTAGCCGCCCTAAGAAGGGCGTTTCCAGAGCACACGACGAGGACGTCGCTCCCTTGTGCTCCACGCGGGTCGGCCCCCGCGGACGCCCGAATGCATCCGCGGGGGTCTACCTCCACCGGCCGGGAAAGCCCTGCCCACGTCGCCGCCTCTGCAACCGCGTTCCCCTAGGGGGCCCGTCTGACCCTCGCCTTACGAGGTGGGAGCGCACCCGTAAATCGGCCCCCATTAAGCCTTCGAACTCGGGAACCCGGCCGGCCCCAAGGGGAGTGCAAGCTAAAGAGCCCGGTCACCCAAGGGTTGGAGGTAGAGAGCCCCTCTCACTTGCCAAGCGCCACCCGCACTTTTGGCAAGCCCCGCCGGCTCCCCACCCGGTGAGCCTGCTTGATGGGAGGAGCATTGAAGGGGGGACCTTCCCGTAAGGCTCTCCCCTTGCAGCATTGCTCCCCCGGACCACCCCTCCGACGGGAAGAGAGTCGGGGCTGTGGGACAAACCACGGGTGGACCCGACTCCCCAGAGAGGCAGGGCGGCCCAAGGGCGCAGCTGCAATGGGGAGCTCACCCAGGGACACGTCCCCCACAAGCGCCTCCCGCAGACTAAAAAAATTGCGGAACGGAACTTGTACTAGGCAACTTTGTCCCCCTAAACACAAACTGTGGTCACTTTTGCAAGGAAAAGGTTCAATGACCTGACTTGAAACTGGTCAAATCAGCCTATTTTTTAGTTGAAGGGCAGTATGATCTTGCATTTAGTGCATTAAAAGTTTCAAAAAGGTCAGTGGGGGTTTTCAAAAGGAGGGGTGGCTTATGGCTGATATGCCAATATCTACATGTCCACATGTTCCGTGTTTACAATTGTTACAAATAATTCAATTAATTATATCAACGTTGTTTGGGGTGGCAAAATATCGATTCTTATAGTTTTTTGGTCGCTGATTTCGAATCTGAAGTCAGTCTTTCGATTGCGACATCATGGGAAGGAGGATATGGACGAGAAGCTTTCCTAAAATTTCGCACTAAATTAGGTGCATATATTATTTCTTTTGTCATGTCATATAATCCAATTTAAAGCGTACTGGTCCAGTACTCTGGATGGCTATCCAAGAGAGTGAAGGCTGTAATGGTACATAGAGCGGAGCATAGAGCAAGCATGTTTACCAACACGGAGTCTGGATGAGTAATCTTCCCATCAAAACAGACATTTAATTTCTTCGGCGAGTGTAGTGTCAAGGTGTCACTGTCAAATGTTTTAATTGTTAATTGGGGCTGGGCTGGACGTTGCTATAAAAAATTAGGATTATTGTCCCACGTGCCGGTGTTCTGACTTACAACTAGTTACAACAACCACGCTTTGATTTCGAGTTTCGGGAACTTACATAGTTAACAAATGTTGTTTCTGCACAGCTTTAAACGTAACTATTATTAACATTATTGTCAAGTTGGTTGGACCAGGCAAGCCAAGCTATCATTCCGTACAAGAGTACCGGATGTGGTCAATTTATCCTCATTCGTGATGTGACTAATAGTACGTCGGACTTTACAAGTTTCACATATTTATCCTGTTGGTTGAATGAGCTGACTGCTCAGAGATAGTCCTACATTAATTTTTAAAATTACTAGAATCGAGCGTTAAAAGATATATTTTTTCCACGCGTTTGAAACCAATTAATGTAAGGTAACACGATTTAATTTTAAACAAGTTGCACATAAATCAAATGTCATTACATGTATGTATTCTATATTTCAGGGGGCGTAGAATAACCAGTCCAAGGGTTTACATATTTGCTACGGATTAAATAGTGAATCTCTCTGTAATTGTACACAACATTTTAGAGTGTATAATATTTTAATCTGACATACATGAAAGATTTATTTCTAAATGATTTTACAGAATAAAATGTCGAAGCAGGCGGAAAAGATCAATTCATCAATGATCCATAAGACAGGAGACACAACTGCCATGACCTTGTCGAACCCCAATGACATCAAATTCGGAATAACCACTCCTTTTCGCGAATCAGACAAAGGAGGAGAACTGGTCCATTTGCCGCATGACAAACCAATTGCATTCGCAGTGGAAACCGTTTGCAAAGTCTGGTGTTATTCAAACCCCAGTGATTACGCCCTCAAATTTTCAGAACCACCAAGTCACTACGTCACGGAGGAAAGGAGGAAGGAGCTCAGTGGAAAATTAGTGAGCATGCAATTCTCTCCAATCAAACTCTGTGAAGAAATCATGTCCAAAATGAAGAGCAACAACGACAAGGAAATTGTGGATGGGATGGCAAAACTTTCGAGAAACGCTTCAGACCCCACGGTCGCGGATGTGTTTGTGGGCATTGGGGGTCTCCCAACACTGCTGGACTTGATGGAGAAAGAGAAGCCGATTGATTGGCAAAAGGAGGGATTTGCTTTTGCCCTACAAGCTCTTTTGGACATTATGATGTTGTCCAACGATGCGACGTGGGACAAAGTGCAATCTGGAGTAATTTCGAGGTAACTACTCCTGCGTTGTTTTATAATTTACAGCAAATTAGTACTGATAATTATGTCTTGAGTTAATGACGAACGTTTGTATTTAAAGGGTCGCGTTCTACGTAAATCGCCCTTCCTCATCTCCTCCACCAAAATTGATCGGCCCTGCGTTGCAGGTAGTGACTGCTTAATAATAATCTATCACATTCTAAATTGGATCTATAGTTTGACCATGAACACTGCGATTTTTTTTCCAGGTTTTGGAAAACGCAATTGCTTCTGGGAATGCTTACGCTCAAATAGAAAAGGAAGTCAGCCTTACAACTATGAAAATGCATATACAAACCTCTGCGGACTCTAGAGTTAAGCAAAATGCTCTTGCTCTTATAAATGCTTTATTGAGTAAAGCTGACCTCTCAAAACGGAAATCACTGGCGACGACACTCGGATCTCCAAAGTTCCGCGATACTATCATTGAACAGTTTGTAAGTAACGAGATTTAAGAATATTAAGAAGAGAGCCATTGATGAGCATGAAGAGTTAAGCTATTAAAAATTATAGCTAAAGTCGCCGGGAGATCGATCATCAGAAACTACACACGAGTTATATGTCATGCAAACATTACTTTTGAATATGTTGGATGAGAAAAGGCAGACACCAGTTAATGTACAACAGGTACATCCTTACACCTTCGTTTCTGACGTAAGTTTGTGGAGTGGATAAATTATTTAAATTGTTAAATTCAACCAAGTATGTCTTTTGTAGGACCAGGATCAAGGGGCTCTCTTTAAAATCAAAGAGTTATTTAGAATTGCATTCGAATCTGCAGACTCTTCTGGAAATTATACCGCCATCAGTTTTGACACTGCGAATACGTATGCGGCTAAAAGGGAAAAACCAAATGCGAAGAGGGACTATCAACGATTAGGATTCACGAACGACTCTAATCCAGAAATGGATTTTACCGTCGTTCCACCCGGGACACTGGCACTGGATTGCATGTGAGAATTTCCAGACTTGTAGAGTTCGAAAAATCATTGAATATTTTAAAGAGCCACTGACACAATCACACAATCTGCAGTAAAATCAGATAAACCCTTCTACGAAGTCTCCTGCGTAATGTTGGTTATTTTTTTTATATAGGTATCATCTTGCAACAGTGCACACTGAAAACTACAATAAAATTGTTTTGGATGGGATTTGCCGAGCCAGTGGAGCGGAGTGTCCTTTTGCCCGATCATCAATTAGTTTGGTCAATGTATTATCTGAACTACTCAAAATGGGGGAACAGCCAGACGAACAAAACGGAACTTTTTATCCCTTTTTCTTTCGCCATGTAAGTTTTTTTTCATTCTCTTTGCTTCATTTCTTCTACGGTACACTTGCATAATGTGTAACTTGCTTCGAATGCAGGATAAGCCCTTCGAAGAGCTGTTCTGCATTTGTTCCCAGTTGGTCACAAAAACTTGGAAAGAAATGAGAGCAACCGCTGAAGATTTTGATAAAGTATTTGACGTGGTTCGAGAACAAATTGTTCGCACTTTGCGGAAAACCCCTGAGACATTTGAAGTTGTGAGAAGTCTATTAAATGGTATGTCGTATGCTGAAATTATGAAAATTCGTCAGCAAGAGCGGTCTAGTCGTGAAGAGTGGGAGTTACAAGCGCAGCCTATTCAAGAATTAAGAAAGAAGCTGGAACCTGAAATGATTGACCTCATCAAGCAAAATAGAATTAATTATTTGGTAACAGGGACCAGATTTAACAAGTTTACATCCCGTGGCTTGGTGAGTTTTTATTTATTACGCAATTGGTCCTATAAGTTGGCCTTATTTGTATGTCTATGCAACCATGCTTATTTTTTGGCAGACGCTGATTAGAGTAAGGGAAAAGTTTTGGTTCTGCCGATTATCTCCAAATGGAAAGGTGTTTCATTATGGCGAATGTGAAGAAAAGGTTAGAGTCACTTTTTTGCAATATAAATCGAGATAGATAATCCTGTCCTGTTCTATGCGACACTGCATAATAATTAATTATATATTTCTTACTGCTAACCAAAAAGGCAACACCACTCCCTGAGGAGCTCCCGAGCAAGATAAACGTGGTTGATATTAAGGATCTGCTTACAGGAAAGGATTGTCCTCACATGAAAGAATCAAAGTACGAAGAATAATTATGGTTTCATTTGTCTTCTTGTTCGCCCAAGCTATGTGTGATTGAGTGATGGTTGTGTATAAATTTGTGCTAATTTTTCAGGGGCAAGAAAAGCAGTGGCTCTTTAGCATTTAGCTTGGTTACGGAGAAGGAGTCTTTTCAAACTGTTGACTTTGTCGCCCCAGATAAACGTACATTTGATGTTTGGACCGATGGGATTAATGCCCTGCTTGGTAATTACAAATTAGATATTTTGTAAATATCTTATCGTATATTCGTTCATTCTACTAATTTTCACGTTGTCTTCAATACAGGGAAACCAATGAATAGCGATGCTGCCAAAGAAGACCTTGAAACCTTGCTCCACATGGAAATTAAACTTAGACTTCTTGAAATTGAAGGCCTGCCAGAATTGCCACAAGTAGCTCCACCCATTCCAGAACTTCCTCTATCATTTGACTTTAGTGCTTTGCAAGTAAATGGAAAATGATGCGACACTATTGCTGATGATGCATCCTATGCATCACCGTCTATTTTTGCATAGCACAAAAATTAACTACAAAATGAAAATGACGTACAGATGAACAAAAGCATTTTATATTTGCCATTTTAGATTTCGTAGTTTCATACTAAACTTTTATACCATATTTCGAATGTTAAATATTACAAATAATAAAACTTGCTAGTCTTTGTGTATGTAGACATAACTTTAAATTAAAATATAAATATCTTGACATTCGTTAACTTTGTTTTGGCGATTCCAGTTGAATTGTTACTGGTCCGTCTCCTTGAATATTTACTTGCATATAATGTCCGAATTTACCTTCTGGAAATTAAATACATTTGTATAAAAGTGCAATTAAATAATTAAATATATTTTGCTACCTTTCACTAAATTTGAGTCGTATGCATCCTTCAGTTTAGCCACAAACTTGTCAAAGAATTCTTTAGATTCTGCTGCTGCCATTGCTTGGTGAAAATCAGGGCTGTTTCCTTTGAGAACGTGATACAAAGTGAATTGACTAACGCATAAAATCTATTAAAAAAATTAAGCGGCTTTATCAATTACAATACATGTTAGTTGTAAATAATTAACTAGAAAGGTGCACCTCTAGCTTTTTCTGAGTCACGCTTTGCTGCCATCGCTTTCCGCTGTCCCCGTCCCAAATCCGGATGTTGAGAAGTTTTCGAACACTAATTCCATACGTAATAATATTAAAAGTTTCAGAAAACTAAGCTACTTACATAAGTATCATCAAGTTAAAATTATTTAAATACAAAATGTATGTTGTTTTCTCTACATGTATTCCATATCTTTGTCGGTGTCATCTCTAGATATACCAACCAGGACACAGATCCCTTTTCCAATAGAGCTGATCAGTTCATCGTTTACTGTTAACAATCAAAATTATTTTATAAGGCAGGGTAAAATAATTACCATTTGAAAAATAAACTCTTCTATACGATTGATCTTACCTGTTACGCTAGCAGACGTCACCCGTTGAATGACAGCTCTCATGCTTATTTTATATGTTATCACAGATGATCAAAATTTTGGTATTTTGCTGCACTTTGATATTCGTTAATTTATATGAATTGGTTTTATTTAAAACATATTCACCAGAATCCAACCTTGTTGAGCGCCAACCCAATCAGTTTCACTGAGGAAAGTATATCTTGTTCCATGGCTCTCTCACTGCTTGCCCCTCTCAGATTTTGATGCGTTCAGAACCCCATGGAACAAGAAGACTCCCAAAGTGGTTTCATTGTTTCATTCATCCCATGCCTCTCCACCAAGGAATGGACACCTGAACATGGGTAACGCCGCTCAATGACTTTGTACCTACATTATCCTACAAATGCAAATGCACAAATTATAAACTCTCTTCAGAAAAATGAGCGAATACGTCTTCTACAGCAAGTTCCAGGCGATGTCCTAATCCGTTGCATCAGCTCGACCCACATTTACCATGTTCGCTCTTCTCGCGACCATACTTCGCAATGGACCATCTATGGATGGATCACGAAAAAATGGTCGATGCACCATGGACCATGGTCCGACTATGATTTGACGACTATTAACAATCATTTTATTATTTTTTTTTTTACATAATTTGATTAGTCTTTAGCAATGTCGTGCGTTAGGAATCATAGTTGATGATTTTGGTGAGTTTTATGAATTAAAATGATAAACTAATCACTACTGGTTCGGGCTAAATCAAAGCTGTATTGTGGTAGCTTTTTATGCAAAAAGGCATTCATAAACGTTCAATACTACAATCCCGTGACATACAATGAAAAAACATATATTTAAACACTACATCACCTAATTTATATTTGTTACATAATGCACATTTTTAACTATATAGTGTATAAATTGTGAGCATAAAATAGTAGCCATTGATTTTTTAAGAATAAACTCAGTTGAATGTTATGTTTGAAGACCAATTGTTCAGAAACATATGTAGTGCTTAGAATGTAACAAAAGAATGTTTCAAACTGAAAGAAAGCTATATTGAATGAGTGAACAATAGAACAAGAACGCAAACACTCGTCAGAATAAGAGATGAGCCTTTCTGAGTTATACAAATGTACTTGAGATCTTGTCTCAAAATTTAGTCCATTCTTGGCGAATGACGAGTGAGTATATTCTTCCTTCACTCATATTATTCTCAAGCGGTGCGTATATACTTGCGTAGTGTTTTTAAGGCATTGCACATCTAGAAGTATGGCGAGAGTTATACGATTTGTCAATTATTACGCATTTCAACTAGTAGTTTTTGGATTTAATTTTTCATATCAGCTAAAGTTTAGCGAATTTGACTTAAATACAAGCACTCTCCAAGATAGACAAAAATGTCTCATTATTTTCACTGAAATATCTAAAAGGTCAAATATTCGATCTCACGATGAAATTGACAATCTCTTAAGATCCATGAGTAGCCTTGTTTTGGACTTCTACGATAAACTAAATCAAACTACGAGACGGACAGATGCGCGTAGTCAAGTCCACATGACGCTGAAAGTCATCATGTCGCATCTCAATGTGAGCTACTCCAAGTGCCCAAAAGGAGACTCGGCCCACCATGTCGACATTAACTGGTCCGTGGACACTTTCCAGAAGCAGTTGGATCGAAGGAAAGGTTCCGAGCTATTCTGGTCTGGAAATATTGTGCAAGTAAAATTCATGTCGTGTAGAAGAGTCAACCGTTTCCTCACATTTTTGTTGCTCGTTGGACCCCTCGGCTTTAACATTTTCCTAGCCACACTTGTTCTTATCGCTGTTCACATCCTCACTTTAGGACTGACGCTTAACTTGGAACTGAAACTGGTCGGAAGTAATGGGAATACAAATAATATAAACTCCAAGGATCAGTATACAACGATTTCCTCCGTGGTAGTCCGTCCCTTGTTGGACCAATGTGAAGAGAGGCACCAGACATTGCCCTCCATCAAATTCTATTTCCGGTTGATTCTCTGCAACTGGTTGTTTTACTGTCTCATCATCACAGACACGTATCGGAGTTCGCTGGTGAGCTACTTGATGCGACCGCAAATCGGGATTTCATGGCTGAAAACATTTCCCGAATTGAAAACGGACCAGGAAAGACGACGAATTTTGGCACTTGGATTCCGCCCTGGGCAAACGACGTCAATTGACGAGTTTATAAATTCAGAAATAGAATCATGTCGCCACACTAATCCAAAGCGGGTCGAATTATTGCAGCATATTTTGCAAGAAATAGCAGATACAAAGGCTCTAGCGGATGAAAAGTTGTATGACATAAATAAACAGTTCACATCGGGAAATATGATCCTCGTAGCGGATAGTTTTTTATTGTCTGCCTGCGCTAGAGGATTCGAACGTTTTGTGGGTGGGAGGTTTTACGAGTTGTCGACCGAGTCAATCTCAAATCGGGTTTATTGGACTGTGAGTCCTGGTCCGTTTCAACGCCGGGTGACGAAAGTAATGAGACGCCTAAGGGATGCTGGAATCCTTGACCATTTCCAAGGACAGCAGGACCTGATTGACTACTCTCTCCTCTTTCACCAGTTGACACGAAATTTTTTAAGTAACAAAGACGGTCACGAGACAAGAAGGAGTCAGCAGGAACTTGTGTCAGAGTTAGCTGGAAACGGACCACAAAGTCTGAAACTTAAACACATTTACGCACTTCTTCTGTTACTATTGATTGGTTGGGGGATAGGTTTCATCTCGTTTTGGAAAGAATTCATTTGCCAAAGAAAGTTTGGAAAGTTTAATGACATATAATTACATCAGTTATACGATGGCTGTAGTGAAAGGTTTGACAGAACACATGTACATATTTAGACACATATGTACATATTTTATGTGTGTTCGCATCTATTGTACTCATCGTATTGTAAATGTTGTATAACTTCATAATTTTGCAAATTGCATCGTGAAAAAAATAAACTTATCCTTAGTACTAGACACAGTAGACAGGAGCATTCGTCAACAAAACCATAAACTGGCTATGTTTAGAGGAGAGGCTCAATTATGCAATAAACACAATCATAGTGACCAGTGGTGACACTAATGTCATGGCCCACCAGCCAGCAACCAAAAAAGATAATAGCCAAACTCAAAGGCTCACCAAAAATTCAATTTTGTTCGGATTTTGAAAAGAAAGAGCAAAGAGGCTCATTCATGTCAAATTGTCAAACTTGCGAATTATTAAACTAAATTATGAAAACAAATTAATTCAGTAGTTTATTAATAATGTACTTAGTCTAGTAGATTATAGTAGCAAATTTGACTATTGACATTCAAGAACATAATTTATTTCTTATCCCCCTTCATATCATCCAACTCGGTTTTGAGCTTTAAAAGTTCAAAGTCAGGAACAAACCGATCTTCGGTATATTCTGGGAGGTGGGGGTGGACCCTGAGCGTAACTCCAGCCGGAAGTGCAGCTTCAACAACGTTGATTAACACTGGCAATAGAGTAGACGGCACATCAGACATCTGACAAGTAATAGTAACAACCTTTAATTCAATATCTAAATAATTAACCAGTTTTACACTGATATTCATTTATTCCTACTTGAACGGTGCGTTCATAAATATTGAGTGGATACTCGCAGTCAATTGCAGTACTTTCCGGCTTCAATTTGGTTACTCTAAGTTTTTTGCAGGGATGTGGCCATCTAAAAATACATTATCAGCATCTACATTATGAGCTGAACAATTTGATAACTAGAGATAAGCATACGATTTAGATTACTCACGCTGCTTCTACAGTAATTCCAAACCTTTCAGCCGTGTGATGGACATATTTGCCGTATTTTTCTAATACAGGGAAATCATACCCCTTTAGTTGGATGTTTAGTAGGTCGTACGCTGGAATTTCGACAACTTTGGCCTACAAAAAGAATGAATGACATAAGGCCGGTTTGAAACGGTTAAATCATGCAAATATTTATTATTTATCTTGTTTTCTAGTATTGTTTATTTACATCTAAATATTCAGGCTCATAAATACTCCCATAACTTCTGTTGTAAGATTGATTTCCTGGCTTAAATCTCGAATGTGAAATTGACAATATGCCTTGATTACAAGGTAAGTTCGAGATGTAACGATTTCCTAGTGTCAAAGTGGTCCTGAACAATTTCGTAGCTGCCATCATCTCGTAGTTTATGGGACAAATGTAAACTAAAGTAAATTATAAATTGTTTTGCGCTAGTATTTGGGGTTTTCTTTACAATTTTACATTTTTACACTGTAATAAACCAATACCCAGTAGTAGACAAGATATTAGAAAAAATTAGACTGGATTCATTCACAAAATTAGAAAAATAAATAAAAATAAACTTGAACGAATTTTACGAAGTTGTATGAATCAAAAAGAAATTTATTGAGCCGGACCGGAAAACATGGGGCTGATGAGACGACTGGTTGAGACTCCCACTGAAATTCAGCGACTGAATGGAAAACACATGACTCTCCCTCTCGGCCTCTCGTCACAGAAAATAATTGTTCTTTCTTGTTTGCAACTTGCAAGTTATCTTATCGAGTCACCGGTTGGTTTTGATCGGCTACCAAGTATCGATTAATTGAACTAATTCGGACTCGGGAATCTTCGCAACCGACAGTTATCTTCTATTCAGTTCCTAATGCAAACTGCGTGTCGCTTCACCTCCTCCATTCTTCTTCCTGTCATCAGCAGAAATTTCAACAAGTCTATCCACTTATCTGCCATCATGCCCATTAAGGTCACTAGTCGTTACCGTCGTTAGTTGTTCGTTATAAACATAATTCATTATTGGTTTTGTATTTGAAGGTTGGAGATAAACTTCCCAGTGTCGACCTGTTTGAAGGGACCCCGGCTAACAAGGTCAACATTAGCGACGCGACAAAGGGAAAGAAGGTGATCATCTTCGGTGTTCCTGGAAGTTTTACTCCAGGATGCTCCAAGGTACTGTTCTAATAAATAACGTGCGCATGATGTAATTTGTTTCTGTGGTGTATGTATCTGTAATCGCAATGTTTCATGGCCGTTGATAGACCCATTTACCAGGATATGTCCAGCAAGTCGAAGAAATCCGAGGGAAGGGTATAAGCGATATCATTTGCGTCTCTGTTAACGACCCGTTCGTTCATTCCGCCTGGGTATGTCTGTCTAACAAACTATTAGTTTATTAAAATAATAATTCAGTTACAATAAGGAGTGTGGTTATTTAATTTTCTAAATTAGGGTGATGCACACAAGGCAGAGGGGAAAGTTCAAATGTTAGCTGATCCTCGTGCAGAGTTCACCAAAGCAATTGAACTAGACATTGACTTGACTGGCGTTTTGGGAACGGTTCGCTCCAAACGGTACGCCATGCTTGTCGACGATGGGGTGGTGAAGGCACTAGAAGTTGAGCCGGATGGGACTGGCCTCACTTGTTCAGTCTCCAATAGCTTCATCAAAAAGTTGTAAACGGTCAACGTCAAGATGTTTCAGAGCGACTTGTCATCCTCTCGCTTGATGTGGAATACTAGAAATCTTGTCTTACTTATAAAATCCAACTGATAGAAGGAATAATATTAATAAAATTGTTAGGACTATTAATAATAGAGAAAATATTATTTTTGGTGCTGTTCATTTGCTTTGCATATTCTAAAGAAGCTATAATTCCACTTTATTACCATTCGGATAATTGAATAAATTGCTAGTTAATATCATTCTAAAGTCTGATGGTTCAAGCTTACTATCTAGTAAAGCTTCTATTTGCTGAAACCACCTCTTTCTTGGACTCCGTTCTGAAAATTCCTGAAATTTATTTTATGGTATGAAATTTCATAACCGAGTGAATATGAAGTCACGTATGTAGAATTTAGAATACACGTATATTAGTATGAAACATTCATATACAGATAATCTTACAAATTCTTCGGTCCTGAGGCATGTGTAATTTCTACCCATTAAATTAACTATCGTGTTTAGTTTAATTATTTATAGATACATATCATGCATGATGATGATGATCTTGTCTTGTCGCATGGAGCCCATATGCAATGCGGGCAAATTGTTGCCTCATGCCTTGTATTTTCGACTTGCGAAGTTCCAATACACAATACACATAATAAATTCAGAGTAATTTGCAGTTAAAATTATAAAAGTGCGAGGGGGGTAATTGTTACTCCATTCAGTTAAATTGATATTTACTTAACCCAGGGACAACTTGTTCGTTCCTACATTTTGAGGCAGGTGATGATTCCCAAGACTCCGAAAAAAATTCCACTCGGCCGCAAGATTATAGGGGGATTGTTCATTTTTGAAGCAGTTTGTTTTGGGGTCACATATTTTGTCTACGCAAAGGCCAACAGGGACCGAGGTGAGTATGAAAATATTGAATTTAAGTAATAATAACTGCAAGCTTTTTAAATTGTTCATTCTTGATTGTGTATGTATCGTATAGATTTTCGCTTCCAGTTGAAGGAACGATTCCCTTGGCTGTTGGAAAAGTACTATCAACTTGGCGAATTGGGAAAGAAAGAAAACATTGTAATTCGACAAACAGACAACCAAACTTGGGCTTTGGCAAAGCCAGAATCCAAGGATTTCTGAGTCAAAAAGATTAGCATTTTGATTGCCTAATTTACGTCCAGAGTTGTAAATTTTTGAAGTTATGTATGGAAAAGCCCTTAAATATTTAGTACTTTGGACCGGAGCTGGCTTTGCGCTTATGGCGATAGTTAAACCCAGTCCCCAAGAAGTAAATAAGGTTGTTAACTAAATTAATAATCCTAATTTAATCCCCTATCTATTGCTACATCTTCTTGCATGTCTTTTGTAACGTTGTCAGATAAGGGAATACTCGAGCAAAACACAAGGATATTCAGACGTGCTCAGAGCTGCTGCTGACCCCAACTCAAAACCGATTTATTTACAAAAACCTGGCGAACAGTTTTTGCCCAGAAATAATAATCAAAGCTCTTCACCAGTCAAGTGAACATTTTTGTAGTCTTTAGTTAATAGTGCTAGAGACAGTTTAAACCAATTATACTTGGTATTCATATGTACATTATGTAGGAGATTACTGTGGCTTACTGTGGTATTCGTCCTATTGTTAACATTTAAAAGTGCACTTTGTAGTCGTAATAGCTAGTTGTCTAACAAGTAAAATCTAAAATGGGTGACGCTCCTCCAGCAGCTTCCACCACTCACAATCAGTCCAAGTTGTCCGAGGAATTTATGGCTATCTTCAATAAGCAAAAGAACGAGTTATCAGTATCAATTGACAGCTTGTCAACCGATTCTACTAACGCGAATGAGAAGCTAACCGAAATTCTCAATGGCATCCAAAATCTGAACAAAATCTTACATGATGCTTCTATGTTTCTTCCATCTTACTCCATCAAGGTTGGAATTTCGTTTATTAAAAAAATTTGACTGATTTAAAAAAATGTTTATCATAAAATATTTTCTCCTTCATATTTTGTTGTAGATGAGACAAAATGAGATTCGAGATTTGGAAAAGTCGTTGAAGAATAAGGACGATGAACTAATTCCCAAGAAAAGGTTTGGATTCAAATCAAAGCCGAAAGAAGGACCAGTTATTGAAAATTCCACTGGTGCTACTCCGAAATCTGATTCGCTCGATGCCTCTATAAAACTAATCAAGGTAGCACAAGCTTAATATTTGCAGGAACCGTGCATTTCATACTTGAGTACTTATAAGTTGATCAATGAAAATGACATTTATCTTGTCAGAGCACTGTAGATTCAAATTTTATAACCATTGAGAATCTGGAAAATACAACATCCGTGCTTGAAGACGACAAGGTGTCCAGAACTGATGTTCTCTTACGGAACTTGACAAATGTTGTGATTTATTTGCACGGCAGTCCATCCACCCTTCGAATCACTAATATCAAAAATTGCAAAATATTATGTAAGAATGTAGATCAAATAAATTTTTGTTTTGTTAGTGTTTACAAAATAAGTACTAATTTTTTGCCGTGTTTTAAAATTATATGTAGGCGGTCCAGTTTACACTTCTGTGTTTGTGGAGTCCTCCGTTGATTCCGTGCTATTCCTTTGCTGCCAACAACTTCGGACCCACTCATCGAAAAACACTGACATTTATCTTCGGGTCCGATCTAGAGCCATAATTGAAGAATGCAATGGAATTAGATTTGGTCCATACATTTGGGATCATCCTTTGTCTAATAAGTTGCACCAAGCTACGCAAATTGATTCGGACTTGGAAAGGTAAGTAAATAAATCAAAGAGCATTTGGACTTTTTGAAATTTTGGAGCATTTTTGGCTGTAAAATTTTTTGAATCATACAGGATTAATTATTGGCTTGTTTGTACAGATTTGATGCTGTTGATGACTTTAATTGGCTGTCAGCATCCCATTCGCCAAATTGGAGCATTGTTCCCGTCGAAGAACGAATAACTTTTCCATCTTTGTAAGGTTTTGAATGTACCATGAACTAATAATATGATCTATAAGTAGACCAATATTTTTCACTAATTATTGGCAAATAGAAAATGCATACTATATGAGTATAGTTTTGGATAATTAATTACACAACGCATACCATGTACGTCTGAACGTTAAATATCGTATAATTTTCAATCTTTATTAGCTCAACAAACAACCCACACAATTTTGATGACAAGTACTAAGTAGAGATAAATCAAAGCTGAAATGGAAGAAACAATTGAGTATGACATCAAAATATTTGTTGCATTAATTAGTAGTCACATTAAAATAAAATAATCAAGATTTTCAAGAGGGAAATAATAATATCCTTCGTTCATCATCATCATGCAAAATTTTCTCCTCGAGGTAATTACTGTCGAGTAGTACATACGCAGCAGTACAATACTTATTATAATTTTTCTTTTTCTAACTTTGGCTAGAATTAAATCTTTCTTTAACAATTATTATTATTCAGAGTGTTTAAACCATTTTTTGCTGCTTTATGTAATCAAGTAGGTGGGAATGCTATTCATCTATTCTATTATGGCTGTATATGGCTTTAACTGTTTGTTGTCTTGTATCGTATTGTGTATCATTATTGTTGTGATATTTATGTGTCTATCTATCTATCCAACACCATTCCAAACTATTTACACTTTTATGTACATCATTATTCTGCAGTATTATTCCTTACATTATTTACCTCATTTTTAGGGTTTGTACAATATCTTGAATCAACTATCCCTCCCTTGTATTTAATTATCCCGTAAAACACTAACTTGTAACTATATATTTCCCCCTACATTATCTATCCAACATAACGTATCTATGCGAAGCACTGGATGGAAGACAGGTTTTTTCTGTACAAAATTGCATGAAAATATTAAAGCTTCAAAAATTGAATACCCGGAATACATGGTCAGTAGTAGAAAGGACACAAAATACTTGTGCAGGTCCTCCTGGCATGCTTTTTTGTCAAATAAAAACTCACTGGCAGCTCATGAATACTATTTCGTAGTTTGTAACATAATTTACTCTTTAGGTGGGATGGACATAACCTTCATTATTCCATTCTTCAATATCCTCGATAACATATATTGTTGATCCATCATGTCGATCTTTATCTAATTTATTTGTTAGTCGTCGTATTTTTATTATGGTTATTACTACTGCTACTGTGATTACTATTGTTGTTTGGTTTGGGGGGAATGGGGAGAGGGTTCTTTGGGGGGAGGGAGAGCTTGGGGTGAGCATGGGCCGTTGGACGAATCATCCTGTTCTTGGCCGCCTGCATGATAGCCTTTGTACTTGTGTTTTTGTTCAACATCTCCCCCTCGGAACAGAGAGCTCGCAGAAGTGGAAGTTCTAGCGCGTGACACCTCGCCCGAAGATAAGCCAAGTCCAGCTCTGCCGCGGAGAACGCCTCCTGCAATGACATGAAAAAAACAAGTGTTTAGACTCGTGCACTCACAAATTCGAGCGGTCTAAAAAAAACAAGGTAGGAATCGTTACCTGTTTCGAACTGAAAGTAGGGTGGTTTGACGCAGGCCTCTTGTAGGGAGGCGGTGGGGGAAGGTTGTGCAGGTTGTTGATTGCCTGGAATTGCTCCTCCGCCGCCGTCATCGACTCGTTGGTTGGCTGCGAGTAGAGGGACTCCTCCGATCGGCATAGCTTGATGTTCATCCTCAACCGCTCGTCGCTGGCCGTGAGTGCGGCGCTGTTCCGACTGCACATCATCTGCTGCACTGCTTTCCGCATCCCGTTCTCGATGATGACGTGACCCGAGGGCTTGTAGGGCGGAAGTGGAGGTGCGGACTGGACCGAGCTGGGATAGTAGATTGGCGCAGATGAGCCATGGCTCCCAGTAAAGCTCTGTGTGGAGAGGAACCGTTGGAGGTTCTCAGAGTTGAGCCCTCCGCTGACGGCCGTGGCGGTGTAGTAGCCGTACTGGGAGGATGAACAGTGCGAGTTGGTGGAGCCAGGGTGGTAGAGTGACTGAAACGAGTTGTGATGGCAGGGAGGAACCCCCGTCGTCGTCGTTGCCATTGTGGCCGGAATGCTGTGATTGCTCAAGGAGGAGGTCACATTGGTGGAGGACGAGTGAGGATTTGGCAGAGGTCGGGTCGACATTTTTGGGTTTTTCTTGGGCAGTGGAGGAGGTATGTTTGAGAGGCCATTTGAGCAAGTGCCGACAGCAGCGGTGGATGGGTAGGGTGGCGGAGGGGGCAAGTACGGGGGTGGGATGTCATTGAGCTGGTAGGCAGCAGAGGTGGCGGCGTTGTTGGGGTTCAACATTGGGTTGCTGTTGGTGGAGGACGTGTACTTGGAGTCAAAGTACTCTTGCTGACTAACCCGTGGGTCCTTTGGAGGAAAGATGACATAGTCGATGTCAGAGTACAATTGTGCTTTGTACCGGTTGATTTGTGACCTCGTGAGTTGATTCGTGTAGACGGTGGTGAATCTCGGATTGTTGTTATTATTGAGACATGCTCCTGAAGAGGATGAGCAGGACGACGTGGTGGTGGTGGTGTTGGAGGCACTATTTGGTTGTTGCATTTGACCCTGCATACATTGGGCGTGAGATTGGGTGGACCCATGATGATTGTTGTTGTTCAGAGTGAGACAACTCGTGGCACCCGCAGGATGGACGATCGGAGTGCGAGACAATGGTTTCAGATTTTGGAGACCGATGAGAAAGTTGTTGATATTGGGGACACTCCCGCACCGATTTCCAATGTTTTTCCCCATGAAAACTCCACCACCACCACCGGCAGCCGTGGTGGTTGAAGGGTTGGTGATGTAGTGGTTGGCAATGGCGGAGGAGGTCAGATTACCCTTCGTGCTGGTGGACAACTTGCTCTTGACGGAGGAAGCGTGAACGTCAATGTAGTTGTTGGGTCGGATGATGAGAGGGGCAGACGTTTTGGTGAGTAGGTAGTACGGTGGCGGGGTGACTGCGGAGGGCACGGCGAATCCTGAGGACGAAGGCTCCTCCGAAGCTACAGTATCGTAAATGTTGTCCACACTCTGGGAATGCTGAAGGGACGTTGTGAGATGGCTGTTAGTTGGGACAGGAGTGATATTCCCAAGCACTTTACTCCCTCGGACGAGGACTTGAGCCTGACTGGGGATGGCGACCGGGGCGGTTGTTGCATATGCCGTCTGAATCAAAATTTGAGGTTTAGTTGCAATGAATCTGGCATCCACAACTGGAACACCGCCAGTCTTGATGTTGTGGTACTCGTGATTCCCGTCGTCATCTCCTCGCCCAATGGTTGTCAAATCTGCCAAAGATTTCCTAGGTTTTGGTGGAGGCTCTGGCTTTGCATGCCCCACGAGGTTGATTGCATTAGTGGACCTGGACGAGACTCTACTCGTCACCAGACTGCTTTGGCATCCTCTGTTATTACCGCGGCCTTCGCCGCCACCATCACCACCACCGCAAGAAAGTTCAGACGACTTTCGTCGCGGAAGTGTACTTAGATTGACCACGGGCGGAGATAATGAGGGTGGTGACGCCTGCTTGGGTTTTCCATGCGCAGACTTTGACACGCATTTCCACAACTTGAGTGAATTTGGTTTCTTGGGAGGTGGTCGTGGTGGTGGGTACCAGGCGAGGGGTGGGAGTTGCACATAGTCCGAGTCAGTGTCAAAGTTGTCACTCACGGTTCTCGTGCTGGGGTAGCGACCTTGTTGCAGCTTTTCTCCAAACTCCACATAATTGACGGGCGGAAGTTCAGAAAAGTTGATCTCTCCGCGGTGTTGGTGGTTGTGATGTCGGCTGCTCGTATGCCTCCGCGCATTGTTCGAGGAGCAGGACGGCTTTGATTTCCGTAAACATTTAAGGGATGCCACTTTGGGTGTGAGTCCATTCTCCTTTGTCCCACCAGCGCCTGTTGGTGCCGTAGAAGAGGCGACGTTTGAGGTTGAAGCAGACAAGCACTTTTTACAGTCTTTGGCACAAGTAGATTTTGCACTCTTATTATTGTTCACAATACTTTCACTACAATTACTGCTACTCTGATCCCCCGACTTTTTGTAGTTTGTATGCTTATTATTCCTACTCGGATTACAACACTTGTCCTTCACTCCTCTGCACTGGCACCCTCTTTCCGGCTTCTGCTGAGGTTGCTCTACTGACTTGATGCAGCTGTAGCGTGGTTTGGGTTTGGGTGCTTTGGCCTCGACCTCCTCATCCCCTTGATCTTCAATGGTCGAGTACCGCTGGTCACTTACACTTCTTCTCCTGCACTTCTTCTTCTTCTCAGTCTTCAGCTTTGCATCACCACTCATGATGATCCCACCACCACCGTTGTTGCTGCCCGACTTATTGGTGAGGGGTGGTCCAGGATCCTCACTTATCTCACCATACACATGTTCATCTTCTAATTTGTATTCCTCAATCTCTCCTCCTCCGTCGTCGTCGGTGTTGTCGCCATCCTTGTCGTCGACCTCCCCTCCGACGACGACGACACTTTCCGTTTCTTCCCCTTCCATCATTTGCACTTTCTGTTTCCCATTTTCGGCACCACAGTCTGAGTTTTTAGCCCCGATCACTGCACCCTCCGCATACTTTATGCTGCTATTGTTCGTACTGCTCACCCCACTGCCAAAGTCGACTGCCTTGAGCGTGGTCTCACTGGCCATGGAGGGCGTGTTGTGGTGGAAGTGATGGTGACCGTCACACTCGTCCTCTTCCACGTCATCGTCCTCCTCATCCTGCTCCTCGTCCGTGACACAAGAGTTGCACTCGCAGTGACCAGCACACTTATTCATCTGTCCTCCTCCTCCCCCTCCCCGCTTGTCTCCAATGGTTCGCACCAACATGGAGCGACAGGGACCTGTGGAGTCGTCGCAGTCTTCACAGTCAGAGTCACAATACCAGTGTTTGGACTCGCTGTCGTCCTCACCACCGGGAGCACCACACTTTGAGTTACTATTATTACTAGAAATATTATTTGACGTCCCATTGACGACGACGTGGTTGTGGTTTGACGTGGCGTTGGAGTTTGAGGACGAGGAGGGAGCAGCAAGGTGAGAATGATGCGAATGACTGTGAGCTCTTTTGATGGCGAGGTTTTGATGGTTGTGACGCAGCCTTGGTGGAGGTGGGTGCCTTTGACTGAGGGATTCAAGGGATGTGGAATTTCGATTGTGAGCTCTTTCCGTACAGCAATCCGGCAACTCGCGCATCTCCAAGTCTTCTGCTAATAGTAACAAAAAAGGATGGAAAACATGCATTAGATTACACTTTAACTTCACATCGTCCTCCAGAGAGACGAGCAAGTCGAGAAGGATGAGCATTATACAACAACACACGAGAAGTCCTGCGGAGCGAGTAGCCAATTGTCCCTTACTCGATGCATCTCGCCTTGAAAAACTGAATCTCGTCTCTCATGGACATAGTCTCGGAGGAGGAATATTATTCCACCACCCACAAAAAAAGATACACCTGCAGTCCACTCTCTCCCACTGGACTCCTGCGACTTGATACCTGTTCCTCAGGTCCCTTCCACCATGCCAGCCTTGCCTCCAACTACCTATCCACGTACAACATCTACATACATAGCGCCACGGCTAGGATTACATATTGTGGTCAAACCAAACATCCCATTGTGCATCAGGCTGCACTTTGCTTTCCCTCATCTGCATTGCATTATAGGCGTAACATCCAACTAGCAGTATGCTTCTTCTTCTTCGTCGTCGTCTTTTTATCCTACTGTGACTGATTTTACACGCCAAATTGCACACTAGTTTTTGCTCCAAGAAAATCTCCAGTCAGCCAGAATCTGATGTGGACGGACGTGTATAAGTCAAAATCTAACAATTACTCGCTTAATAGAACCAGAATGATGCTTATTCCACGTAACGTCTTGGTGTATGTGCATATCCAGACGCACAGTACATGCATCGTGATTATAATTCCTACATTCTCCATGTTCCTACATATTATTCGATAAAAGCCAAGTCTAATACTTATACTAAAGGGGTCAGGTTACGTATCTAGATGCAATGGCTATGTGGTTCATCCACCTTCATTTTAAACAGATGTGTACATATGCACTTCGCTGACTTGATCATACGTATTGCATGCGAACCGCATGTAAACCAGCAAGTTTTGAATTTAAAACATCAAAAGGAGACGAGTGACTTTGGCCGTCGTTTTAAATTGTAAAAATTGTGAGTAGGGTGAACTGAAAAATAAATCGCTCTTGCGTCGCTGTGTTGTTGTAAGTAAACAGGAAAACCCGTTGGGTACAATCATGCATTATTTGTGTGTACAAACAAACGGGAGAGTCGCAACGACATACCTTCGCTGCCATCCAAACTGTACACTCTGTCCGAGACGATGCCTGAAAATGAGAATTTAAGGATTTTTAAATTTTACATAATGCCATAGTAAAAATCTCAATAATTGAGATATATGTAGTTCAACCTGACGTGGTATTACCTGACGTGGTGTTGGAGGACGCGTTGCTGATGACGGAGACGCGTTGGTGCTCTGAGGACTCGCCGGTGAGGAGGAGGCCGTCCGCCCAGAGGGACAGGTCCAGCATCTTTTCCTCATTGTTATTGTTCTTGGAGGAGGAGCTGAGGAGGGTGGAATTGCAGCTGCTTGTCGACTCCCCACCCCCACTCGTGCTCCCTTCCCCGAGGGACGATGACCCTTTGCCCCCTCCGCTCGTCGTCTGACCTCCTCCGTTGAGGGACTCGGTGAGAATCTTGTGGTTGGAGAGATGGAACTGGTGGGTGGAGCGGCAGAGGTGAAGCAGATGCTGAGGTACCGACTCGGTCGAAGCTGTAAATGTCAACTTCTGAGTCGAGTTCCCCCACGGAAACGCCTGACCCCGGATCCCGTACTTTTTCCTCTGTAAACAACAATTTTCATGTAGTATCCCACCCTACCACTATTGTACACACTGACAGCTTTGCTAAGTTGGCAGTTTAGACGACTTTTGGGCTATGTACATGGGCAAATAAGAACCAAACTAACCTCAAAGTAGAGCTTGGTGATGTTAGCCCACAAAAACGTAAGTCTGGGTTGAGCAGGAATCTCATTGCAGCCAACAGCGTTCTGTGCAAGATAGAACAAAATAGTAAAATACTGAGTAATGTGAGTGTGGTGCAAGCAAATGCAAATTCAGGTGATGAATCAATCAACCGTCGAACCATGACATTAAAATAGTTATTATGTTCACACCTGATAAACTTCAATTCCTTTGGGAGTGACACCGACCTATGAAAAATTGTAAGAAATAAAAAATAATAATAATCAATCCAATTTCGTTTAGTTTGTTTAAAACCGTTTGCACCTGTTACCCAATTATTTCAGACTGTGCTTTGATTTGTATAAATGGTCACATATCTACTTACCCAGGCCGGAGCATATTTGTCTTCTTTGGTTTTGAGGGTCATCCCGAAGAGATGCATGTTGTACTGGGGCATCACTGCCCTGATGAAGGCCAGTCGTGCCGCATCCTTCCCCAGGCTTGAGAGCATTTGGTGAGCCCTGACGATGGAGTTTGCGAGGGAGGAGAAGAGCGGTTGCGAACTCGTCCATCGTGGCAATTCCTGACAGGGTCGCCAGTCGCCCAGCTCAAATTGGAAGGCATAGGCTAAGGGCTGAACCACACTAGCGGGCGGGAAGCGTGGGGCGGATATTAGGTTTTGGCGAAGTTGGAGGTAATAATGATGTAGGGAAATGACATCACTAGAAAAATAAGAGTACAGCGTAATTATTGTCTTGTTGATCACTTTAGAAAATCAAGCTGATACATGCGTCCATTCTCATGTTGACTCGAATGATGATGATCGCTATCTTATTATTACTATTGTAATCCTTCCAAGGAGCAATGCTTTTATGAATGGTCATGAAATTGAGTGCATCGTCGTCATATCGGACGAAAGAATAAAGAATTGGAAATTGAATCAATCAGTTTGACTCTTTTTTTCTATAACTCGAACGTGGTGCAACATGGCATGGGCATCTTGTTGGTTGTCTTCTGGGACACGGTGTCACGGTCTTCACAGGGATCCCATCATCCATCTCGTATCTTTTTCTCCCTAATCGCTCAACCAACCTCGCCCACTTGCTCCCTTCGAATAATTTAATCGCTAGTAAAGTATCTACAATAAAATGCATTCGATTGACTTCAGGTCTCCTCAGTCATCAGTTTGTGGTGTACTGGGTCTAACTCTGAGGGAGAGAGCAGATCGATCGAGGAACCAATCTGGTACAAATTGCAGCGACTATAATATTATAAAATCTGTCCCGAAAATCGTTCCAAAATTCTATGTAAAATTATTTCTTGGAGCAAAAAGTTAAAAAGCTTTGACACGAGAAGAATTGGATTTAATTCATAAGAATAAACGACTGGATGACTGCAACACATTCAGATTCAAAACAGCAGCGTCCATACTGCGTCATGCCCTCGCGAGTGTCACAAATGTCAAACTTACAAGACAAATGATATATGTATGGGGTTGACATGACGGAGAAAAATGATCACTACCAGACACTCCACCGTCCAACCAACCAACTCATCCTCCTCAGATCAGGCAGGATGACTTATCAATTTCAATCCGATTCAGCTCAAAACTGTACTTTTCTAACTGTAGCATCCATCCACTAAATGGTCACTGCTTGATAAATATATGTAGATGCATGTAAAATATTTTTTCAATTTCCCAGTTGTAAATTATCTGTGGAATTTTAGGGTGAGGCGAAGGATGACATACAACAACGTATTGTTGGCTGCTTAAAAGTTGGTTGGTTGAATACGTTGGCTGGTTGGTGGGACAGAATGACCAGACCAGTAATTAGTGTTTTATGGACTCTGTCAATCACCTCCACCGTGGAAGAAGGATTATTGAGGAGGAAAGCATTCATGTTTGTCAGTAAATTGAGACTGAAAGCATATTCAAGTCAACAAGATTTATTCGGATGGTAAATAACTTACAAATTTTGGGGTAGGGCATCCAAATAGAAGTGGACTCGACAATGGAACGCTGGTTTCTTCCCGTCCTGCAATAAATTAAATCCAGTCCAACAATTACTCCTTTATAATTCACCCACGGCAATTCATGTGTCGATGATTCTTTAACTCGATGACTCGAGAAGGAGAAAAATGGCCACGAGCAGGAGAGGAAAGGGTTGCCTTGCTAGTGCTCAGGGGATGAAAGGGTGAAGAAAAAGAGGAATGCGTAAAAATAAAAATGAAGCAAGCATAAATTTAACGTAACAATTTTGGGGTGAAGAACTACTTCTAAAGCATCAAATCAGGGAGCCAAAACATTTACAGATATCCCCGCTTGCATATTTTTCGAGCATAAATATATTTTCAAAAGTCCGACTCTTCATCGAGTTGCATATTTACGTGTCTGTGATATGTGGAAGCCGCTCAAAAATTCAGTAAATATCACTGCAGCGTTTTCAAGCAATAAAAAAACGAAGCATGCCGTTCATTTATTTGGTCGTCCTTTTTCTTCCAGAGCTCATCTAATCTTGAAAATCTCTCCCCATTGAAAAGAACGACGAATGTACAAACATGGATATATTGGACACGGGGAAGATCTTACTCGTGCATGTGATATGCAAGACGCACCTCTTCTTCCTTCCCTCTCGCCCTTCGTCGTCGTCGTCGTATGGGGAAAAGGAATCTCAGTGACGAAGCCTCAAACATACGGCGAGATGTTGGATGAGTGGGTATACTTAAGCACGTATTTATATGACGATATGCATATAGGGTGATACAGTATATAGCGCTGGAGGTACTTTTTTTGGTAGGTGTGTGCACTTGAAGAGGTTCGTTCGTTCCGTGGTTGTTCTTGTAGATTTGAGGATTGAGGATCGTAAAATTTTTAGAGAAACTACCAGCTTCCGGAATTGAGTGAAATGGCCTCGAGGCGTAATGATAGTTTTTGCTCTCTCTCTCTCTATTATTTAACGTATCGGATTGTACATTTTATAATCACTGCCACAACCACGGCATGACATGGCATCTGAGAGAGAGAGACCTTTGGCTTACTTTCATCCATCCACTTGTTCTCCTCTCCTACATACGTGCTCATCCTCTTTCTTGTTCTCCTCCGATATCGAAACTCTGCATCTCGACGCGAGGTGTATAAAAAACACGAGGATAAAAGATGAGCCAAGGCAAATATGTGGGCAATATGGCATGCTGCACCACCCCAAGAAAATAATACTCGCAGTGCGAAAATTACAAATTTTTAACAACATTATTTGAGAATGTACTTCCAGAATCCGAGTGAGTACATTTTGGTATGTACATATTGTGTGGATTCTCATGAATGCACTGTGTTCAGAATGAGACAGGAAGGAAGGGTATACATATTTAGGGCGACATTCCATCCGTCCATTCACCATGACATGAACGCGGCACTAAATTGTTGAAGAAGGTACCCTTCCACCTAACCAAGTCAACCTCGCTCTTTATTCTTCCCATCGTCGTTTCCTGTTGTTGATTTAGTAAAATGTTGTCCTGTCCCACAATACTTATTACTCAGTCTCCTCAACAATGATAAAGAAGTGTCTCCATTTCCGTCGTTCCAAAACACCCCAAAAGTGTCCCACAGTCTCAAGCACTACATCAGTCGTGCCTCATCTCCGTACACATTCTTGGAGGAAGAACCCAACAAAACCAGTCTCTCAATCTCTGCTCAAATTAGTTGTGGATCTACAAACTCTACAATCACGCCTTTCTTTCTATTTTAATTAACATTTTCCAAACAATAAACAATTTTCCCGTAACATGTTCGTGATGTGGATTGGTTGGCTGGCATGCAATTGTTTCAAGGTGTCGACGCCTTGGTAGTTGCATGTTTGGAGTTGATGAGCCACACAAATTATGAATTACGAATGAAATTGTGGTCGAATTAAATATTTAAATCGTTGGACATTTTATCTTGGGGTAAATATTATAAACTTGGTGAAATGTCATGAGAATCTTTCCATTCACCGTTCGGATGATTTAATTTGACTGGACACCTAAGACATTGCTTTCTGATATGAGGTTTTCCTCACAAAAAAATCTAACAGTACAGAACACGACTAAATAAACACCTTAATTTCAGAATGCATACACGTCGTTTTGGGCCTCGGTCATTTGAAAAAATTTTATTTCACATACCATAATCATTCGAAGAGGTTTTACTAGTTACGCGTAATATAAGTTTAAAAAATTTACCATGCGAAGTGATGAATGTCGTTGGAAGAAACGACGAGCGTGGCCCGACACGGCCGTCAACTTATTCAAATTCGATAATTCAAACTTTGAAAAATTCCTCCTTGAGCGAATCGCCATTCATTTGCTAAGGTCATCATCCATCTTTTGGTACTAATCTCTAGATGGACGAACGTCGTTGGTGTTGGTGGGATTATTTATAAGACATTCTACCTTTGCATGCATCCATATACGCGAACATACTTGAGACCTGTGTGCATTTTGTATACATGTGTCGGTCATTTTCATTGGAATAATTTATAGCCCACACCACAACCCACCCATCCCATCTCAGGTGTAAGTGGACCATAAAAAACGTCAAATTATGCGTGTTAAGTATTATGTATTATTAATTCTGACAGATGAAACTGATTGAATTGATCTCAAAATGAATGGCATCCATCCAATCCAGTGAGCATAATCCTCAGCCCAGCCGCATTTCTAAATAAATACGTCTCATCTTTCTCTCAAGGATTTCATATGCCGTCTGTACATTCACATTCCTCAGCCTTATTCCATCGATCGCCACTCTTACATTGTGTGCATCCCAAGTAAATCAAATCACAAAGTTTCTCATTTCATTCGCCACAGCTCATTAAATTCAAGCGCATTAGTCGAACCAGTCAAATTTGAGCTGGATGAACTACATAAATTGAATAAAAATTAGAGCGATTTGTTTTGCCTTCCGATTAATTCGTATGCCCAAAAGAAGAAGTGTACCCACTGAATGAGAGAGATATCCTTCGACATACGCGTATGGATAGAGCGCAGAAGTGCATGTGGAAGAGACTGAAGGCGCAGTGGTATATAATTGTGGTTGATTTGGTCCCGAAAATTATGGTAATAAATGCCAGGATAAAATTAATGTAATAATGAGAGGAGAGGAAAAAGCAGAGGGAACAACATGGGGCACCAATTTATTGTGGAGGCCAGATAATTTACTCGTGAGTCGTCATTCCTACTTCTATTAAATCAAAGTCAGCTATTGTTGTCCAAGGATGATTACCCAGAGGTATTTTCGAGCGGGTGGTGGTGGTGCTGGGGAATGAGCTCTCTCAAACCATTAGCGATTAGTTAAGTTGGATTATGAAATAAATACAAAAAGACGAGACTTCATGAGCTTCGAAAAATGGAGAGTAAAAAAATCAAGCTCGTCCATCTCTCCTCATCCTTCGCCACTGGAGGCGATCCTAGAACAACCTTCGAAGAGATAATGATGGAGAGTGGATTATTTACAAAATCTGGTATCCTCAATCCTCGCCGTATGTACGATATACATTTCTACACGCCGTATGCAGCGCAGTGCGAGGACCGATTCATTTCTATTTGATCAGAAATTAAACAAATTGTGGCGGAATTAAATAAGTAACTAGTGATCTTTTGTCTCTGAAAACACAAAACAGAGTTTCCACAAAATTAATGTTACTTGCATGAAAACATGCTGGAAAATGACTTGTTTTTTGTAATCTATTTTCTGATCCATACATATCGAACGGGACATAAGCGTAGTCAGGTAATGCGTCTCTGAGGAAGAAGACGTAAGGATGAAACGGCGAAGAATGTATAGGAAAATTCGTGGTTGTTGATGTCTGGCTGATTGATGCTGAGAAAATTATTTGATTATTATGATTCAACCACGAGCTTCGAGACTTGGTTCACGAGGGACATTAAAGCAATTTGAAGGCTTTGAAGATTAAAACGAGACTTCATCAATCGCTCCCCATGATGAATACAAAGCAGATGAGAATTTCTCATTTTTCTTCCATTTAATACGGTTATTTGTTAAAGGCAAGAATAATTAGACAAAAAAGTGCACTTCATCACATGCACACATACCAAAATGTATACCCACAAACGTATTTAGTTAGCCAGTCTCAGTCGGCGACGCCTCAACAGCGACTGCTGAGGAGTTGAACTGGGCCAAGTTTTTTGTCATGTCCAGAAATTTGGATGCATTTTGACACGTCTTGGTGTAATAATAACAATCAAATAGTCGACAGAAATGACCAGCATGACGGGAAAAAACCATGATTGGTTGTGGCGAACCTAATTTTGGACGTTATTTTATTTAGGCACCATCAATAATAATAACCAGCTACATAAATACATATCTTCATGAGCAATATGTATCATCCAGAATCGTTTGAATTTTAATATCTAGTCAGTTTCAGCTGCATTTTTGAAAAATGTGGAAAAGTATATCGTATCATGATTGTCGTTATACTCTAACCTTGCTTTTTCTATTCTTCTTTTGGACACAAGTGCAGTCAGTCAGTCAGGTGTGTGTGTGTGTTGGGTAACAAGTTGAAGTTTAATGGGTTCTCTTAAAATCTCGATCCTTGGCGTTCAACACGAAGCATTTGATATCCAGCAACTCCCAGACCAAGCTCAGCATCATCATCGTCCACGACTCTCCACGTACTTACATAAGCTCTCCTGCTCATGAAGACGAGAAATATTGGAAGGAAGGAATACAGCCAAGACCAATTCCAGCAGACTTTGAAATACGTAATCAACAACGGGCAGCAACAACAACATAGCATCACGATGATGCTTCTGCTGTGACTTCCTTCAGCCATTCAACCGTTGACCCCTCTGGGTGTAATGATAATTGTGTGCTTTGCTTAGCATTTTCCTCGTATTCCTCTCTCACCACAACTGCCCACCGATTTGTGCATACCTCGCACTCCCTGAACCTCAGCCTTACTCTGGATGAATTCAAATGAGATTTTAGAATTTCAAATTTTTCTGGAAGCGTGGCTTGCCGATGGTGGAAGCAGGACGATGATTTCTACAAAGGAGCCGTTAAAATCATCCCGTCTGATATATTTAACGCTTCCGAGAACATGCATTTCGTACTTGATTTGGGAAAAGCCAGTCGCCTATGATCACACCGGAAAGTAATCATGCTCTGCTAGAGTTACATGCATACTTTTGGTGGTGGTGGTGGGTTATTGGATCTCAAATATTTGTGTGGAACGAGGGGGAGGTGAACTGGATGAGCGAGAGCAATCTCATTTCCAATGACCCCAAAAAATATTACTCGTCTTGGTGAACCTTCTTTGTGGAGGCGTCCCTTTAACTGAACGTCCTTCTGGCTTCGAAAAGTACTCCTGGTCGTCCTTCCAACTCGTAATCCAGACCTAAATAAATAGTGAGCGAGTGTGGACCCAGGACGTACACTCTGGTCTCAAAGTCCTAAAGGTCTCGTCGCGTAGGAGAGGACGGGGACGACGGAGGTGGAAAGAGGTGGAATTATTACATGGAGAGCAACATGCTCAGTGACTGCAGCTAATTGTATTTATGCGATCGGAGAATTTATGAAATCCATCGCTTACATATTTCTTTTGGGTCAGAATTCCTTCCTGACTGATATTTCTACGCTACGACGGCCACCACCTCGGCTTCTAGGACTTATTTACGATCCCCATTGTGTTCATTGTGTTCCGTGTAATTGTATGTATTTAGTATTTATTATAGCCAACTGCCGACCCAACCCCTCAAAGGTCTCACCTCGCTCGACTCAACAATTCTCAAAATATCTCGGACCAAGCAGAAGAAAAAACATCCCCATTGACGGGTCTATGCAGCGAGCGGAAAACTTATCTCCTCGAGCTACAATTTTTTTTAAGGAATTTTAAACTGTTTTTCTCCACCGAGCAATATGTGCGTTTCTGATATATTGCAACATATTGTTCTTCAATAATAAAACAGGAATGATGACTTGGAGCAATTGTTGCATAAGAGAGAGAGAGATGATAGAGATCTAAATTCCTGAGTGGGATGCAAACCTAGATGATTTTTATGAATTATGGCACTTTTCTTCATCCTGGTCGCAGGTTGGATAAGACTTGCAGCACGACGGCAGTGCTGATATGATTATGATATGAAGCGTGGAATGTGCCGGAGAGAGTCATAAACAATTATCCAGCCAGATACGCTGCAACAATTACGAAGAACCCACCACACACGAATTTGGAAACCCATCAAGGAACGCGGCGGTATCCTCACGTATCTCATCTCTACACCCAAAAAAGTACGCTAAAAGAAAGCTCCAGAGCAGTTGACCATTGAGAGAATAGGACACGAGGAATGATGGTACATAAGTGTGGAATCGTTCCATTTCCAATGTCGACCACCGCACATTATAGGAAATGCATACAAAGCTGTGGTGCATACGTCGGTGGTATGGCCGGTGGTGGTATGGTCAGAAATGCAGCAATCCCAAAGTCATTTCCAAATTCTGTGGGGTCTAAAGCGATTTGACATGGAACAACATTCCTTCCAACGCACGCTTCTTTCCTCCATTTTTTGTCCATTGCTGGCCGCACTACGCAGGCAGCAAAAAGAGCAGTGCAACAAAGCCGTGGACTGCGTTATTATGTATCTGGAGGAGGAAACGAACGATCTTCATCTTTTCTGACGGTGATGTAATGTGGTTTGGGGCTGGATGCCGTAAACCAAAATGGACTGGAATTCCGTGCATTAATTTCCATACTTCATACATAAGGTGTGCACCGACCGAGTGGGGTTGAGCGTGTTTGAATGTCATATTTCCCTGTCATCCTTTGACAGCACCAACATTCCAAAAGGACAGATGCAACATATCGAAACTTGGAATTACCCAATATTCCAAGCGCAGCAAAGAAAAACAAAAAAATATGATAAGAAACCACAATTTTTTGTGTAAAGCCCAAGCGTAATAAGAATTCAAAGAAAATATTTAGAAAATAGCGATAAGGACAACATAGAAAATTTCTAGTAGTTCATAATTAGCGTTTCACTTACACTAATTGACCCAGATCCGGCTGATGACAAATGGGTTTGACTCTGTGACTTGCCCTCTTTGCAAATATTGGGGTAGTACTTGGACAGCTTCGCGTCTGGATCGACAAACACCCAATCGGATCCTGAAAATTAAATTCAATATGCCATGTATATTTTTTATTCTTATCGAACGATGACGATGGGCATCTGGACATTATGGACCTTCGTCAACAGCACTCTCACTCGTTGGTGAGCAAGGAAGAAGGAAAGGAGGATTGACGACAGGACAGTTTAAATAGAGAAACTAGCACCAGAGTGTTGCCCAAATTTATGGCCTACACCCCAACGAACAACTCCCTCCTCCTCAAATGTCTTATTCAAATTCAAACCACTGCGACTGCACACGGTCTCCTCAACCCAAGAAATACACACAAAATGCATGTATGTACTTCCTAAGGAAGAAGAAGGGGAATAAAAAATCAAGCGAGCAATAACCAACCAACTAAATGTCTTCCAACTTGCTTCATAAAATAAAATGTAAAAGTTTACTTTTCCATATTTGGACACTATTCAACTCCAACGACCCAACTCCGAGTCAACCAAACATGATAGAACCTTAAAAACATGAATATCAACACTGCTATTTTCTTAAATATAAACCTGAACTCCGCTGGTCAACATTGGTCAGACTTTTTTGCCATCGTCAAACAATACGATTCGTGTTAACATAATAAAATCTCTTGGTTGGCGGTTGATCACTTTTTTGGAAATTATTGAATTTTGAAAATATCGATGCGATATTTGCTTACCAGACTTGATGGCTAGTCCAAAAATTTGGGGATGGACGACGCTGAAATGGAAATTGTATAAGGTAAATCGCATTAAATCATACAGATAGACAGATTTGAAGGCGGGAATAAATTATTGCTTCATCCTTCCTTCCGGTGTTTTTACTCTATTTTGCCCGTGTAATAAAAAAGTATGAAATTTAAATAGAAAACTAATTGGTTCAAAATGACGTTCCGGTTGTACGTATTATATAAAATTTCTCATTATTTTGTTTCATTATTTGCATGTTTAAATGATTAAATGGGATCAAAATAACCTCATAATATAATATGTCAACAGAAACCATGTGATGGAAATTGAAGAGGTGGTTGAACCACTTGATCCAATTGATGAAGCAGCGTGTAACAGAATATTAGAATTATTCGGCACTCCTTATCCACAACTGACCAGACCACAAATTTTGATGTTGGACAGAATTTTGGAGGCCGCTAAAACGGCCCAACTTCCTTACACGCACGTATTCCAACCTCAAGATGTTTTATATGATGGTATGATGATTAAAATACCAAGTGAAGTATGATGATGATTAACAACGTTAACAATTTGCAGACACAATGGATGTCGATGATGATATACCTTTACTCAATATTATTAATCCTGAATGCGTCCCACTACCGAATTTAGCTCCGTACATACATCCTGTGAAGCTACAGAAAGCTACCGGACACACCGTGCCTGGTAATGCACTGTATTGAAATAAATTGTTCTTGACATGTAATTATTATTATATTTCACCCAGACTCAGTAGCTGATCAGATGAGGACTATCTGGAACAATTATTTCAATGCGCGAGGGGATGACCAAGACCACATATGGTCTTGGTCAAACTGATGTTTTAGAATTTGTTGCATTTATCAACGGTGTCGTGGATGATCCTTTATTGGGAATACCTTTGGTCAATTTGATGGGAAATGAGTGTCATGTTCGGTATAGCCACAAGCAGCAATGTTTTTATCGTTACTCTGCATATTGCAGTAGAATGTGCATGACAACAAGTAAGATGAGAGTTGCAAAGTCTGTTGAGGTTAAGATGATGATAGTGATCATTCTTTCGCAGGTTGTTTCAGAACAGAAGCCAAAGTTATCTCCGTTGGTTTTCCAAACTGTTCACAACATTATAATACAAATGTCCACGTAGTATTGGAGATAACGCGTGGCAGTGATGATGAAGACGAAGAATATGATTACAACCATCCAATTCGACACGTACTGTTCCAACTTTCGGTGGATGGCAATTGGAGTGATGTACAAATGAGAACATATTTACAAAATGTGTGGCTTGATCGCAAATCGACATACACCCCTAATGTTCCATCCATCGTCACAGAAGCATGGATTTTCAATAATCACCAGTCAGCAGTGCACAAAATTGCATCTCTTCAGGTGAATAACAACTACAAATATAACTCCAGAGTAGTACATGATGTCTTACATTTTGTCTCAGTTCTGTCATCTTCTCCTGGCGTTGAATGATTCCACCTACGAGTATATACCGGATAATATCACACTCCCCGTAAATCTGCAGAACGAAGTTGGACCAATTCTCGACTCTTTGGGTATAATAATTAGTTTACAAGGAACCGTATCAGATGAAGAACTGGAGTCAGTCGGTCTCTCTGACTTATTCGGGATGCCTTTTGAAGAAGAGTTACTTAAAGAATCCAAAATTGTGTTATATCGTGAATGCAATAATCACTTTGAATATAGAGGAGTAACCACAGATTGGACAAAGAAGCAATGGGCAACGAAGCATGCTTCCAAAACCCTTCTTTTTGCATGCAAGGATCGTGGGCAGCAGTTCGCCTTAGAACCACGACGGATATTATATGACAAAACAGATATGGAAAAGACCGAATTATTAACCATTCTTGGATCATTTATAGTTAGTTATTTGCATGCCCCCAGACCAGACAACAAACAAGATTTTGTTAACGTTAATTGTAGAGTAGACAGTAGATTTTTAGTTAATAGACGACCAATTAGTGTAATGCAGGATACTGCTCTTGAGGAGTACGAAGATCGAGAGACGGACGACGAGGATTGCAGTTATGAGGACGAAGGACAAATTTATGATTCACAACATTTGACCAATTTAGAGCTTTTGATGCAATGGATAGCACATGAGTATCGTCTAAAGGTTGTTATTACTGTGAATCCAGGAGGGATTGAGGAGGAACAATAGTTGTTAAATTTATTTACATAATAATGACCTCAAATAAATAATATAGTAATACATACCCACGCGCCACCAACTCCCCCTCGACTCCTCTCCATATCGTGTTGCATGTTGTCTTCCCCTGGAATTCAGAAATTATCATCGTCAGCATTAAATATTATCAAGAAGTGGAAATCAAGTTTTCATCCACCACCGTCGTCATGCTCAATTTACACCTCTGCAATTAATCATGAAATTATTATAAGCAGCTTCATAATTTTGGCAAGTTCCCACCTCCCACCCAACACTATCGGCTAATTTATTGCATGGACATGTGACTCCATTCATATTCAAATTCACCAACTGATTATTATCTACGTATAGATGTACACCCTCAAAATGTGCATCCACCCAGGAATTCACATAGCATTCTGCATATCGATGTGACACACCAAATACAGCTTGAGGGAGTCCGTCAGTCGGACTGGCTGAACAAAACTGCAAATTAATTCTGACTCTGAGATGTTGTGTTGTAATGGGGGGCACGATGGACGAAGCAACAAAGTCCTTAATGAAAATTCAACCACGACCACTTTTTAACTCTCTTTTTTGCAATTCATTCATTCCTGTAAAATTAATATGTCTCGAGATTCTCTGTTCGTATGTACAAACTCATTTTGCAAGCGGAATGTTGTGGATGTGACCAGAATCAGAGATTTCATCCAACATCATCAATTTGTACTTGCAACTTACTTGTCCGTTTATTAGTTGAGCAACAATCAAAAATTTCATTGAGACATGAACGGAATGTTGAGCATTATGCAGATACATACATACATTGTGCTCTCCTGGGTCTGCATATGTATGGGTGTATGCACTCGTATGCATATGCAGTATGGCTACGAGTGGATGCAAGACATTCAAACAGATTTAACTCATAATTCATAAATTACTGGCTCAACACAACAATTACGGCGAGATTAAGATTAAATGAGGAGTGAGAGTGACTAATGAAGTAAGCCAGCAGGTGCTGCTTCTAAGCTGCTCAGGACTTTTTATTTGAATAGGAATCACCATTTGCTAATTACAGGTAGTTACCTTACTACCAGCTTTTCATACTTGATACATACATACCTACGACACGTCCTTACATAAATATATGCTCCGCACCAACCAATCCTTCCTCACCCGTGTAGCAGAAGCAAAAGAGTCTCAAAGAAGAATGGAATTGAATGCCAATCGTAATTTCACATCACATCACACAGCCCGTACGAAAACAATGCCTTTCTGAACGTATCAAAGCCTAGTAATAGCACTAAATAATACTTACATACGTAGAGATATCTACATACATACGCCGTGAGTATAGCAGTAATTGAATTGGGCACATAAATGTCTAAATGTGCACAACAATCACTTACTCAAGACGAGCAGTTCAAAATTCTAAATAATTCTAAACAGTGATGTGCTAATTACACCCTTGGTTGTAAACCTTACAATGCGAACACATGGGCAGTGCGTAATAATTAGCGATTTTTCCATTTGTCCTCCGATTACTTCCCAATCCGGCGAGTAGAATTGAATTAAACGGTACGGGAAGAAGGGTAGTAATTACTGCGACAGGGAGAACAGGTTAAAAATGAGCAGTCATTAACGGGCATGAGCATTGATTTCAATTCTCCATCCAATAATAGCTGCTCGCCACAAGCACCTCGTCACTGGCTCAACTACTTATTCTCAACTATTTATTATGCACAAGTGAGTGAGTGCCACGGCAAAATATTATTTATGCCGTCCGTATAATTAGCATTCCTGCTTAATAAACTGAAATGAAACCCCATCACACGTCCAAACATTCATTCCACTTGTCATTGCCATTATTGTTCAACTATTATAACTTATTGCCTCGCAGCTACCAAAAATCATCGCCACCACCAACTCGCACCACGTACAGCCAACACATAGGAGACGACCATCAACTATCCAAATATTAAAATATTATTCCACTCACTGCAACTGGATATACAACACATTTGGAATTAATTGCAGGCACATAGAGGGAGGGAACGACAGCTTAAATTATCATTGCCAAAGGCCACTCGCTGCGCTAAGGTCGCATTCCAATCCAAATAAAATCTGCATCATCTTAACCAACTTTTGACACTCAGGCAGAGGTCACCTTCACCACCACCACGGACTCATGCCAACGCTGATGAACTGCAACAACCCACCAAAAGACTATTATTTGTCGCTCCTCGATTGTTTGGCTGGCTGGCGACAGGTGATTTGATTTTCTGATAGGGTCGGAATGCATGTAGTAAGTAATTGCTTGACGTTGATCCCTAAGGAACAAAGTGCTGGGCTATTCACAATTTTATTAGCCAAGCAATCATGGTTTTTATGGCGTTCATGGTGACATACGCCATTACTTGGTGACACTGGCTGGGTGGGTAATGCTTGTCATACGCGCAGCATCACCACTATTGTCTATTGATCTATTTATGACTATTATTCTGCGCGAATGGAGAAACGAGAAGGACAAAATAATTCTTACCTCGTAAGGGATGACGATTTGTTCTCCAGTGAGAAGTTCGACGGTAAGACAACGATGGTGTTGGTGATGAGCGACAGTCGTTGTCGTCGTTGTGGTCGTCGTGCTGGTATTAAAATTCACTCCCTCAACAGTCCCGTTGTTTCGCATGCTGATCCCCTCGCCCCATTATTCAACGCTGCAAAAATAATTTCGAAAATCAATTATTTTATAATCGCTTGATGGATGGATTATCTATTACGCTACACGTACAATGCATACATGCAGCGTGTGTGCATATCTAGCTGGGGAAGCAGAAATGTGTGTGTTTATGCCATCATGCATGGATAGATGAAGCCGAGGAGGATGGAAATGACGGATGGATGACGCCGCAACTATTTACATTCTTTGACTTTTACTGTTTGTCTTTTACAATACGACGGATTGCATGGGAGCAGCAACTCTTTGCCAGCTATCACTAAATCACTGCTATGCACACAGAATCATCCTCTTCTACTTTACTTGGTCCTCGTCGTCGTCGTCGTCGTGCTGTATGTAAAGCCAACGAGTAAGTAAGCGTAAAAAAGTATGAAATTCCTCAGCCCTTTGTTGGTGATGGAATGCAGTTTTTGCACGGCCAACAAACTAGCTGCCCCTTCTTTCTTGCGGCTTGGATGGACGTTTTTACATGAAACGACGAACGCTATATAATAATACGGATGGTTACTCGTTATTACGACTGCAGGCAGGGAACAACATTGAAGGAAACCAGTAACACAGCGAGCGACTGACTGACTGCTTTTTCATGCACACCGTATGCAAGGAATGGTCATCTTAAATAAATACTATTTTGCTGTTGTTCGTAACAGCCCATAAAATGAAATACAATTCATAGAGCTTTCCGAAGGGAGAAGCTGCTCTGCTACATTGACTGGTACCAATGATGATGATGACGACGATAATTATACCCACAGATACGTCTTCACGTAATAATGGTCATGTTTTTAGAGCAATTTCACGTGGTCTAAAAAATATTTTGTTGTCCATGAACTTTATACAAATGAGTTTTTGCTTGTATTTTAATAAACCAATTCGTAGGCAAGACTGCGAATTATCATTGAAAGGTAGATTCGGACAGATTCACAGCATCAGTGTCCATACGAGGAGTAGGAAAAATGGTCCGATTGTGGATGGATGGCAGAGCTATTTCTATTCAGCAGAAGAAGGAACAAAGTTTGAGGTGATGGAGGAACTGACTCCATTTCAAAAAGTTAATTGACTTTTCCATATTCTGCACATAAAATTGCACCACTGCTGCGAAAGCACGTAATATAATTTTAATAATCTTTGGGACTGCTGTGCTGAGACTGTAACATAGATCATCTCATGCATCGCATGCACCTATTAAATAAGTACAAGTTGCTATTTAAATAGTTGCTACTACCAGAGGATTGAGTGAGCTGAGCAACAATTGACAATATGCTCATGCTGCGCTGATTTACGAGATAGCTGCTCAACGAATAAATAATACATGGAAAATGGAATGAGGTATTCAGACGATAAAAATCACGGTTGAGCTCTGCCCCCTGCTCTTCGAGGACGTCGACGACAACAACAATACGACTGGCAGTACAATAGGGTTCACCCACCATCCATCCATCCGTCCGTCGAGAATGCGCGCATTCCTACGTCCGCATAAATGGAACAGTCAGCCGCATTTTTTCACTGGCATTCGCCACATTCCTCCCATTCCGCCAAATTATTATTTATTCCAACCCATTAAATCCTTTGCGGCGCTGCTCCACTTTTCACAACTGGAATTATTTACCAGCGTCAAAAAATGTATGCTAATATGCAAACCGAAATGCTGGCGTAACACGAATGGAATTCAATTAAATTCAAAACGCTTGTAAATAAGTAATTGTTGCCTCATTTGACATTCTCTTGGTGCAGTAAGTAAATATTTAGCTGGGTTGTTGGTTACTGAAATGTAAGCCGTTTTTATGCAGTCTGACAATTAATATCTTTTATGCGAATTATTTAGTTACTCGCGTAACGTAACGTCGAGGGTAGAAAAAGCCGACCACTTGTTGCACAATGACATTCCACCAAGCTCCCATTCATTCTCTGCTCATTCATGGAACGAGACTTTGACGTCAATTAAAGAAAATTAAACGCAAATGAATCGAGTCTCGAGTTGCATTTTGAACATTCCACACTTCGTTTGGCTGAATTCTTTGCAATCTGATGAATACATACAGAGTATTTTTGTGCGTTTGACAAATTTGCCACCTTCTTTTTGCCATCAACATGAATAAAATCGTAGAAGGCTGGTTGGGAAAAGAAGGAGGAAGAGTTATGAGCAAGGATATGAGCGAATATTATCGGCCTAAATTCTCACATTCCTTCAAAATAGTAATGAGATTGTTGGAGATGAAAAAAAAGCTGTTTGCTCGTGTAATTTATGACTATTATTTATTATTTTTGCGATGAAATTGCATTCAGTGGCCATTTAACTAAATGCGTGGTGGTCATCTCTCTCTCTTTTGACTTGCTGTGGTATGCAGCTAACTCGGCTTATGTGCACATCAAATGCTTCATCCCCTCGCGTATGTACGTACAGAATTCATAACGACGCGAATAATAATACAAATATGCACGAACGATGCACCAATCATGCCACAAATGATTAACGTCCCTTTCTCTGCGTAATTTAGACTAATTGTTGCTGTCAGTTAAGGACTTACGGTCATCCAATTCCAAGTAAAAATCCGTGCCGCTCATTCGACCATCTCCACTCCTGCATCCAACGGCACACGAAAAATATAAGAATGGTCAAATGCACAATCCATTCTTCGTCCAATTTTATGATCCATTTTGCGGACAAATCAATCAATCTCATGCACACTTATTCACTTTCACTTTGCTGCTGCTCCCACCATAATAAATCCACCGCAAATAAATTTCCAATTTCACATTCATAAGAGGCACAATAATTCACTTTTCATCTCTCTCTCTCGAATTTCTTAGCATTTACTATTTAGCAAACTCCACACATTCACTCGGCTGTTGTTCTCCTCCTTAATTCTTATGTGCGTATTATTGTGCAATAAATACGTAGCAAAAAACTTTAGCGTGAGAATTTTTGGATGTTTGTCTCTTCAGAAATCCTCCAGCTTTTGCACGATTGATTTAACCACTCACTTTCAAGTATTTTTTTCCTACTTTTGTCGAGGAATGTTTAAAGAATTAGTTGTGGAAACTCTTGTCCTATAGTCGAACTCGAATTTTTCCTTTTTGATTTCTCTCTCAAGTAATTGAACCCAATAAATGAATATCGTCGTCGTCGTCGTCGTCTCCAATTAGTGGGCAGACAGACAGAAAGACGAGTTTGTGGTTGTCAATGGATCAGCCAATAATATGAGGTATTCCTGTGACAGAGAATATTAGGCGAGGGGTAGTGCAAGCCGAGTAATTGCCCCTTGTTCTCTGCCAATGCGCGAATTATTATTATCTTATTTTATTAGAGGACAACAACAATGGTGGCCAATCACTCTGTATCTATCCCTCCACGGCGGATGCACGGTGTGTGTGTGTAGTAATAATACTGCAGCAGAGAGTAGTTAAAAAATAGTTTCACTTCACTCGGTCACCTCATTGAATTGTTGCCCAGTTGGAGTAGTGGTGGTAGTAGCCGTCGTCGTGGTCGTCGTATAGCTTGATGTATAATAAAGCTCCTTTGATGGGAGATTGTTGATGAGATGGGATGCGATGCGAGAGGTGACCACTGAGGAATGCGGTCCACTCCACTCTCAACTCGCCCAACAACCACCAAACGAACCAACAAGGCTTATGCTCTGGTACGTTCGCTTAAGCGATCCTCATGATCATCGCTCCCTCGTCACAAAACAACCTCACTTGGCTGAATTTTTAGGTTAAATTGTACTGGTCGCCACCAATTTTGGGATTTCCACCTTCAACTCAGTGCCTGTGGGGTGGTCGTCAATATTGATTTGGGCGGCTTATGTATTTCGCCAGCGGAGCAGTAATCCTCTCCGCCTCGCACAAGAATATGTCACTGAACAACAAGTAATAATGAGCTCGCGAATAAATAAAGTATCACACTCGTGCGGTCGGCTTGACGGAATGTGTACTCTTGCAACAATAACAGCAATGCACCCGGTATGCCGATTATGTCGAGGACTGGACGTGAGTACGACCAAGCCCAAAGTGGAAGCAAGACTGACTGGAGATGAAAGGATGGAATTCGCTTTCTGCTGGTACCCTTTTTCCTGCCTCGTCGTCCTCATCAGTTTAGTGCCGACATTGTCGAATTGTTGTGAGGAATGAGAGAGAGGAGCTTCTTTCTGTGTTTCTATACGAGGATTCACCAACTGGTAAAAAATGTTGGATGGGTTTTCATATAGTAAAAACTGCTGTATGATGATCTGATGGTGGTGGTGAGCCCACGCAACTCGAGGAAAGAAGAAGGATGGATGCAGTTTAGAAGAAGATGTATTATATTGTGTGCAGTAAAAACTGTGAAGCGTTGTTGCAGCAGCGTTGGGCTGTGGGGCTGATGATGGTGGTTCGAGTCAAGAAGAGAGAAATAACTAGGACCAGTTCGCTGAGGAATTTGCCCTTTGGGCTTCTTCTTCTTCATGCTGCTTAAAGACTGTAAAACTTGTAATGCATTTCAACTCCTCGTATACTGCATACGACCACGACGACGACGACCAGGATGATGATGATGACTTGCTGGTGTGGATGGTGTGGCGTTTTCGTATTGTGTTATTATTGTTGTAAAGGATGGAGTTTTCATGAGCGTCGTCGTGGTATGCAGCATCCCTCCACAATTGAGATTCGTTCATGGCCCATTCCACCGTGGTCGTCGTAGTGGTGGAAGTAATACTCCTTTACGATCTCTCTATTACACATAAATCCTATGAATTCTTAATGTAAATGTATAAGCTATAACACAAACGATGTAAGCAAAGGTAGGTATACAAGCATATTCAGCAGCATCATCATCGCAAGAAGATTCGGTTTAACCTTCTTCACTTGGTTTGGTTAACCCCCAATGACCAAACCTGACATTCACGGGGGACGTCCGTGCACTCCACGTTCAAAATTGGTCACAATTTCTAGAAAATCTGGATTTATTTTTCAAATTCTTGGTCCCATCAGGGGCAAGCATACTCCAAAACGGTATTGAGTATTTGCATCCAGCGTTACCAGACGATGTCATTTTTGGACGCTTCCTGGCTGGTTGGGAATGGATTTCGAAGCAGCGAGCAACAGGTAACCCTTTTGCTGCATACATTGCCTGCAATTACGCTACGGATCTGTTGCTGCTGTTATGGGAGAGGAGGACTCTAAAGGTGAGCTCTCTTTAACATACAATTTATAATGGAGTAACACTTTAGCGTTCTACGTTCACTAACATTGTTCATTGTTGTCAGAAGAGAAGGAATGCATTGTGCTCCTAATGGTTGTAACATCACCCATTACAATCCCTTCATTATTGCCAGAGCTCTCTGGTCTCTGGGCGTAGGACTACATAGTGTGTGCATAACAGTGTTCAGCTTACATGGAGCAATACTATGCACATATTTGCATAAAATCATACGATGAGACTTTATGCGACACCGGACTTTGCATTTTAAGGAACATTTCAGGATAGTAAATAATTACTACGTACATAAGTAATTTTTCCGTAACGAAATTAGCCAGCATTTTCTGAAATTCAAAGTCGTTGTCAAAACGAGAATGACCACTGGACAGGCACATGCACATCCATCTCCACCAATCATACAAGCCCGTAGTCGTACGTAGGGCATACTTCTTCTTAGACAATGTTTTTCTGAGGCATTGTTATGCAATGTATTAAGCGAGAGAGAATGTGAAGGAAAGCGAAAAAGTTTGTATGCAGGATTTTTTACATGTTGTTGGTTGGTTGGGCCTGGAGGGCTATCACAAATCTACATAGTTTTACACGTCTCTCTCTACAACACGAGCTTTGAATTCAAATCTTGGAGTAAACCAAACTCCTTTTGAAATTATAAACTTGTACGAACGTAATCTAGAATAGTTTTGGTGGGAGTTATACAGGCAACACGTCTTCTGCGGAGATAATGTGCACTCATCCAGTCGTCCTATGCCATACATACATTTTACATACAATTCAGAGGTATGGACAATCTACAATCTTTCTTGAACCTCATCCTACTCACCCAATGGTCGTTATTGCTTCCTCCTCCCTCTCTCCCTCACTGGGCTCTGATTTCCCAAAAGAAAATTGTTGGTTTTAAGGAGGCGCCACAAATTATGTTCATTTTACGCCACGTAAATATGCACATGTGACCATGCACCCTCATCTCATCCGCCTCAGAGTGGGTCTGCAAGTTTTTAACCCAACTGCTTTCTGCACAAATTCCTGGAACATACTTTTTTTGTCGCATATTTTCCATCACGAATGTATGATTTGGTCGTGTGCGTAATATAATTTTATGACCCCGTCTCACATGGGTACTTTTACTGCGAATGGGCATATGTATGTCCCACCACTTATGTAACGAGCGCATTACGTACAAGAGAGTGTGGAGACCTTGCGTAGGGAGAGATTGGATGAATCTCATGGTCCCTCCATTCCAGGAGAAAGAATGGCTGCTGGATGGATTTGTATGCTTCCTCGCCATGAAAAGTATCCTTTTTCATCTCCAGAAGAAGAGAGAATGTGGAAGATGCAGAGATTCCCTTTTTTGTGTGCATTTTCAATCTCGGACAATAAAATGTATACAGCAGCGTCTTGAACTTGTTGGTTGGTGGAGCTGTAAGAGATGAGAAGATCCTTCACAAGGCTTCATAGTACCAAGTCCTGAGTCCCAACTATAACAATACCAGAGGCAACCATTCATTCCATCCATGTGTGCTACGTCCATTGTGTTAATTGTATTCTGTGTTCGTATTTCGTAAATGCCCAGCTGTCCGAATCATCGTTATCTCATCAGGTCTCGGATGTTTAAATGTTCAACTCAAATATGTAAGTGCACCACCACGTCCCAAGTGCATACGACGCATCTTCTCCCACTGCCACCAAGGGCAACATTCGTCCCTTCACTTTATCCATTGCAATGCTTCCACCAAAATCTTGTCAAAGTTCTCTAAATTTATTCTAAAGGTCCTTCGTACTACGTTTTGTGAGTCTACTTCTGAACAAGCAGACTCCCATGAAAGCAACCAAGATATTCTGGGATGAGATGATTTGAACTTTCTTGTGTAATTTTTGTGTTTTTAATGGCTTTAAAAAATTCAATTACGGAGGAAAACGTACGTAAATGTGTTTTCAGCTGCCCAGATTTAATGTGCTTATCTGTGTGCTGTTCGTTGTGATGTTGCAGCACATCCATCACTATCAAATTTTCTGAAGGAAGCGAGTGAGTCCTGAGGCGTAATCAAAATGTAATGTTTTATACTGTTTCTCCAGCCAGGAGAAAGTGCATCCTACTTTTGTGCATCTATTCATCCATCCACGCATCCATTTTAATCAACACCCGCGTTCCTACAGACACATATGCAGATGCATACTTACTATTGCATACGCTGTACGTAGTACTAGAGATCCATCCAAAGGTAAACAAATCATGGTTGGAAATCAATTGACGTCAAGATTCGAATGTAAATTTGAAATACACGTCAACCCAGCAACGCCCCTGCCTGCTGTCAAGTCACGTCAGTTCAAATTCCGAACTGAAATGTTCACAATGCAAATGCATCACAATCACACTGACTGAAATCCAACAAGAGGGATAATGATGATGACTCTAACCTTAAGCCTTGACCCAGCACTCTCAAATTCCCAAAGTCGTTAACTCTTCCACATTCTGCTTCTCCGTGTACCCACAATCTCGTATTTATTATTTACGTGTACCTACAGACAGACGCACTGATCATGAGAGCGTTTTCATGCCAATGCATCTTCTCCTGCATCCTCCGAATCTTAGAAATGTCAAAGGGGAGCAGAGCAGACTTAGAGCAGGCTTAGAAACGCTAACGACTCCATGTGTATTTATCAACGCATTATATTGTTTTTAGCTCAGGTTTAGCAGTTTGGCAAAGAATACTTTGGCTAAACCGTAGGTAGCAAAATAACAATTTTTACTGTTTGGTAGGAAATCTTTCTTTGGCCAGATCGCCATAAGCCAAAATGGTTATGATCATAAGTCCCTTGCTACTTGCTCCACTGGTCAACATATAAAAATATGTGTTTGTAAGTGCCACACGGCATCCAAGTAATCCAAGTTTCCATATTTTTTTGTATGGTGGACTGTTCAGATTCGAAATTGAACGAGAGACGATTAGTCTTTTTAACCAGTCATCAGTTACTTGGTGCATCCTTCTCTGACAACATGACCTGCTATTTCTTTCGCATTACTGCATGGATCAAAGGGTCGAGGAATTTACCAAGGTACGAGATGCTACATAGGTACACAAAGTTATTGGCGTCATTTATGTGCTCATTCAAATATTGCATTTTTTTTAAGAACTGAATGTCGCTTATGATTGTAAGGGTTTAAAATGACAGCATCGAAAAGACTGGACTGGACGATAAGTGTGAATCGCAACGAGCTATTTGAACAGTCCATAATTGGTTGGTCCGAAGAAATTCGACCAGAAATCTGGGATGCTTGTTCTTGTTGGTTTTTGAACTGTGAACTAATATAATACTTCATGACAAGCTTAATTATATGGGAGGAGGGTTTGGTTACCTTTTATTTTGACTCTTTCGATCTACTCACCATGAGTAATAAACTCGGAATGGTTGTTTTCTGAGCTGAACTAATTGTTGCAGGTATTCCTTCTCGTACTGCAATGGATAGCATTCTACGTACCAAGAGAGAAACCTGCCAAGTCCTCGTTATCATCCATCATCCATCAGTATCACTTTTCTCAAATAGCAATCATGGTCATATTTAGGAGCGAGTCTCTGATAATTGGGATCATCTTGGACGATAAATTCGAAAACACGTTGTCATTTTCTTATTATTACGAACAAACTTTTTCGATTTGATTTATCCACATTTTCATGAGGAATGGATATCTGTTTGTATGGAGCATAATTGAATATGTTCACAACTAATGACACAAGACAAGAGCTCGTCAATGCGAAGGCCTCAATTTGGCAGGGAATAAATAATTCGGAGAATATGAAATTAACGTTGGGATCCCCTCCACACATTTCATTGTTCTCTCTCTCTCTCGCCCTGTGTAGTACCACATAATTTGGCAAGGTTCTTTCAAAATTGCTTGGATTCCCTGAATCAAGCATGCACAAAAGCTAATTGTAATTCCAATTGATTCCTGGTATCTAAATTAAGTTAGGTACTTAAACTACGTCTCAAATTTTTTGGGGGTCGTCTCGCTCTTGGAGCCTTTTTGCTCAAAGACCATAATCTCAACGAAACCCGGA